CTTGAAAACTACAACTTCATGACATCACAAGGTGGAACAGAGCATTTTGAGCTATGGAGATGCAGACAGCGTAATACTTCAGAATTACTCAAACATGTGTGAATGAAACAAAACACAACTCCAGATATGTTTCTGAGGAAGTAACAACATTAAAACATGGGTTCAATCTCACAAGAGTCAACTTTACATAATATAAGACCTTTAAACATTCAACCACTAGTTTATGTGTTATATTGCAAATGTTTTTCCAAATACCATTTCTTTAAAATAATAATAGAATTGCGTTGTCTGTGGTTTGTGGTAAAAAACATGTTCCTCTTTCCCACAGTAAGCTCAGTGTGTTGCAAGAAGATAGCTTTATAGGTTAAGTCAATATTTTTGGCATAAATCTGCACATTTGACAGTAACAACAGGAAAACATGCATGACTTCAGCCTTGAGAGGTTAAAAGCACCTTTATTATCAGCTGGAAGTAACACACCTCGAGAGTAAAACTGATACTATCACTACTATGAGTCAAACTTTATTATATGGACACTGCACGTTCACAGAGCTTTTTACAAGTGGAGTATTCGTGTCATACAACTGTAATGTAATGCAAAAACAGCTCTACATAAGTTGTGATGATGATATAGTGTGTGCTGTTATAAATGTATTGTATGTGCAGATATTATATTTACATTTATCATAATTATATAGATATTTTCAATCTAAATTTTACCCCTCTACAAAATAAAATATCAGAAGACATGACTATATGAAAGAAACTCAAACTTTATTTAATTGCCTGAGTATCAACCATTAAAAATAATCACCCCCGAATCACAAACATAAAGGCCCAGCCCAGTAAAAATCAGTAATATTTGATGTTTTTACTCAAAATGATGCGGAATCATGTTATTAACATTAATGCTGTTCATAATCACCTACAGAACATAAATCATAGAGTACAACACATGTGCCCAGGACTGAACCAGGACTAAAACTGGACTAAACCAGGACTGAACCAGGACTAAAACAGGACTGAACCAGGACTGAACCAGGACTAAAACAGGACTAAACTGATACTAAAACAGGACTGAACCAGGACTACACCAGGTCTAAACCAGGACTAAACCAGGACTGAACCAGGACTTAAGCAGAACTGAACCAGGACTGAACCAGAACTAAACCAGGACTACACCAGGTCTAAACCAGGACTAAAACAGGACTAAACCGATACTAAAACAGGACTGAACCAGGACTACACCAGGACTGAACCAGAAATGAACCAGAACTAAACCAGGTCTAAATCAGGTCTAAACCAGGTCTAAACCAGGACTGAACAAGAACTGAACCAGAAATAAACCAGAACTAAACCAGGTCTAAACCAGGACTAAAACATGACTAAACCAATACTAAAACAGTACTAAACCAGAACTGAACAAGGACTACACCAGGTCTACACCAGGACTAAACTAGGTCTAAACCAGGACTAAACCAGGACTGAACCAGGACTGAACCAGAACTGAACCAGAACTAAACCAGGTCTAAACCAGGTCTAAAACAGGACTAAACCAGGACTGAACCAGGACTGAACCAGAGCTGAACCAGAACTAAACCAGGTCTAAACCAGGACTAAACCAGGTCTAAACCAGGTCTAAACCAGGACTGAACCAGAACTGATCCAGGACTAAACCACATCTAAACCAAGATCAAACCAGGGCTAAACAAAGTCTAAACCAGGATCAAACCAGGACTAAACCTGGTCTAAGCCAGAACTAAACCGGGACTAAACCAGAACTGAACCAGGACTAGAGAGAACCCCAAGCCCACAGAGCAAGGTGTCTGCAAAGCATGACCAGGCGGCGGCTGCGCTTCCTCCTGTGTGGAGCTCTGCACCGGTCCTTTCTCCTGCAGTCACCCAACAGTCCCGGCACTCAGTCCTGGTTCAGTTCTGGTTTAGTCCTGGTTCCTCATGTGCAGGCCACTATAGGACAGTATACTGGAGATATCATGAGTTGATGCAGGTTGTTTTTACCTTTGCCAATAGCTTCGGTTTGACATTGAAGTTGTAGCTATTACTATCCACCCAAAAACCAAAGACCAAAACAATATGCTTGACACCAAAAACCTTTATTATTTTCTATAAACCTAAATACAGCATTACATACAACCCTAACACCCCAGCCTGGAAAGAAACTGTTGGTGTAAATAAACTTAAGGTGCATTAAGCAACTTCTCTGATGGAGGGTTCGCTGCCTACTTGTCTCAATGGAAAAGTTATTGCTTTGCCAGGAATGTTCCATGGTATAACTTTAAACGTATAAGTCTGGCAATATTCATTATGCGTGTCTCTTACTCAAAAATACACTTGTTCCTTCTGTGAATAAGGGCGACTCTCCACAGATCTGAACCGTAATGTAGTGCAGTGCTGTAACCTGGTTGTCTCCTTAATCTATACTGTGGAATATTCTAGACAAAGCAATAACATTTCCATGGAGACAAGCGAGTCAAAAACAATCTGTATTACTTAAATGGATCTAGATTCAAAGCAAATGTCTGACTAATGGCTTTATAAATAATTGGCAAACCAAGAAAACCAAGAGGATTATGGGTGCCTTAGGCTAAGTAATAAAACACATAAGCTGTTTTGCATCTATTCTCAAATTTCACTGTTCACCATAGTTTCTGGAGAAATTGTTTTACTACAAATACTTTTCACTTGAATCACATCATATCATTTGTGCAGTAGTTAGAATATGGCTTCATTTAACACACTGACAAGTTCATTGGATGTTAAATTCCTTTTCAAAATACAATTACTGCATTTTGATCTGTCATTCTTGATAAAATATAAGTGTTTTTCAAAGGTACATGCTCTTGTTGACATTAAAACAAATATTAAGCTAATCTTACTTCTGCAATCCAGGTAGAAATGTCTTTGTTTTTGTAACTGATTTCCTCTGTAGTCACTGAATTGCTTAAAAACATAGATTTGTGGTGTCACCGTCCAGATGTGAGCCCACAGTCAGACTTCTCTAAAAATTTTACGTCATCAGTGTGGGTTTAAGTAAGGAGAGGTTTGCTACATGATGCCACCAACAGATTTTGGAGTTACAATATTGGTTTACTGAAAGATATGGATTAAAGTTTGTATTGCATTGATCAAGAAAGAAGGGATTGCAGGTAAAGAAGCCTGAATCTGATATCAGAATAGTGAAGGTTCACACAATAGGTGCATGCATGTCTTACAAAGGAGCTTCCCTGTACATATACACTAGGGAAGGTGGACTTAAACTAATTTAGCATACTGTACATCCAAGGTCGTTAATGGTTATACCTTTAACAATCAAGAGAAATGCAAAATATGCCACAGAAAGATAACTTTTCTTTGCAGAAAAGATTGTTTACATGGGCCTCTTGTCCCAAGTATATAAATAGTTAACAGTTCGTGAAAGTTTGCCTATGTTGATGTTGACTCTGTGGCGCAGTCAGTGTTAGGCCTGGGAGCATTGGTGGAAAGGGGTATCAGAGGAGGTGGTATTACCTATATACCTATATACCAATATTTCCCCATTTCTTTAGAAGAAAAATAAATAAAAATGAATCAGTGCAATAACTCATCATTCTGATTTCAACAACTTAACAATGGCACATTTGTAGTGGCAGTACTTACTCAATCCCAAAAGGACGTAGCATGTCCTCACTGGTCTGACGTCAACTAAACAAACAAAAGCACCTCATCAGAAAAGATACCAAAACCCATCTACATGAAAATCATCTTTGGTAAAATGCCCATGTTTACCTCTTAAACACGACCACAGGGGTAGTGCCTGTCATCCTCATGGTACACTGCCTGACCATTAGAGTGTGCACAGCGCCCCCAGTGGTGCTGGCCCATCATTGGATGATGATGCTCATTTGCATGCTGGTTGAAGGTGGATGGGCAGTGCCCAGGCTGAGAACGTAGTGTCCACTGGGCATAAACACTTAATTCCAATGGTTGCTGCCTTTATTCACACCCCTGCTGGTTGGAGGTACTTGGGTGTCTCTGCTGTTAGAGGCATCTGAGAGGATGAACCATTCTGAGGTTCAAAGCTGCTCAGATGCATTTTGCAACTGGACTTAGGAGACTTTGGCCTGTAGTTCCGAGTTTCCTTCTGTTCTGTTTCTCTTGGAGGCAAAAGGAGACAATTAAGTAGGCTGGTGCTGCCCAGCCTGAGGACTTGGTTGTCTGTGCTCTGTTAGAGGCATCTGAGTGGGTGAACCATTCAGAGGTTCAGAGCCTCTCACATGCCTTTTGACCTTGACTCAAGAACTCACTGTACTCACTGTATTACAACAAAAATCTGGGCTCTAACAATATTATTTTTGCTGCCCCCATCTGTATTAAATAATATTGGTCTATTGAATGTTATGTCATCTGAAAGCCAGCAATAAAAAAAAATCCAAATAAGTACATTTAACCTAATCATTCAGTAATTTTAAATAGGATAAAATATTTGATTAATAAATATTGTAACTGTAGCAGAAAATTATGTTGTGTAAGAGACTCTCTTATTCTCTTCAACCTATAAAATGGTATAAAAAAGCTGTAATGAGATGTCTTTCTTTTCCCTGTGTTGTTTAGTTATTTACTGGGCTTGAGAACCACAGCCAAGTGAAAGGCAAGTGTCAATAAAACACTTGCAATGGAATAAATGCAATACACCCAAGTTTAATGCCATACTGAGGAACATCATAGACAAAGTAATAACATATAGAAAAAAGTCAGCATACTGTGGGGCGGGGGGACTGTAATCTCCTCTACTGATGCAAAACACTGAATACGGATTGTTATTATTATTTTTTTATTTTTCAGTGTACCAACGCTTTAATAATTAAGGCCTATTTTAGGTTACACATCTTAAGAAATTACTTTATAGAAGATGTACTGTAGAGGAGAAAACACAAAGATCCATTCAAACTTTCAAAGCCAACCAGTGCTACCTAGAGAAATAATATGGCAGGAACACACTGTAAACCACATGAATTTTAATGTTTTTTCATCATCAACATCAAGGCAACTTGGATTACACTGCAATAATATCAATAAGGCACCTGTTTTGACTCGTGCTCGTGTGGAGCAGAGGATACAGTTTACACATGTACACACACTGAACTATGGGAATACTTATGTGCTCTTGTGCTCATGAATGCTGCTGGCTCCACACCACTGTTACCTTTGTCAATGACATGATTGCAAAATTAAACCATGTATAATGGACATAATGCACAGTAGTTAATGAGGCTATTCATTAATATAACATCTAGCATAGATCTAATAGCACGACATATACAAAACCAAAGTTACTGTAAATATGAACAACATGTAATTAACATTATCACAAAATGTAGTACATAAAAACAATTACAAGTAAAAGGAGAAGGAAGAACTTCAATGCACTTAGGCTTGGCAAAGTAAGAGATGAGGTTTAATTCCACCTAGTGGACATATCTTCAACTGTCCACAAAGTGTTTTTGCATGTGCTTTCTTCATTTTCTGTTGCAAAACAATGTATGTCGGCAAAAATAATATTAAATAATATGAATAAATAAGATGGTGGTTATACGTCATCTTTAGAAGGGGAACTAACTGACTTTTATTATATTTATTCATTATTACCTCCGCCAAGGAGGTTATGTTTTTGCTGGCGTTTGCTGTTGTTTGTTTGTTTGTCTGTTAGCAACATAACTCAAAATGTTATGGACCGATTTTGAGGAAATTTTCAGGATTTGTAGGAAATGTGAAAAGGAAGAACTGATTTCATTTTGGCGGTGTTAACATTGTGGTAAATGGGGCCAAAAATTTTGTTTCTCAATATCTCGGTTAATTATTGACCAAACCCCATGAAATTTGACTCAGGGATGGACAATGGGATCCTCTTTCATATTCCAAAGGCTGATCCGGATCTGATCCAGAAGACTGATTTTATCGCAATTTATATAAAAAATGGGGGTAGTCCTTGGCGGAGGTCTGCGCTCTCTGAGTGCTTTTCTAGTTTAAGCATTCACTTGGTCCCTTCATGAAATCTAAATAATTACAAAAGCTTCTACAATTTGTTATCTATATTAGGTTTAAATTCAGGTCTGAGCAACCTAAACTAAACGTCTTCCAGTGTATCAGGTTTATAATATGTGCAAAATCTACATTTGAATCAAATCACAACACATTTGCAGCTAACACTGTCTGTTGGCCCACTCACATAAAACTACTGAGCAACATGACAACACAATAATGTGACACTATCAGAGTATTTTATCACTCTTGAAATGACTGTGGATGTTTGACTTCACTCTAACCAAAAACATAATCCTTCTTTGATGGACCCTGTTATTCTGAAACAATAATTAAGGCAAAATTACTTTATCTTTTAAAAAAAACTTTGGCAAAACAAAATTTTAGTTTTGGCAATAAGATTAACTCAAGACTATCAGATAATAAAAGGTTGAATATTATGAAACACGATGACAGTGTTTACATAGAGTTAGTGACAGGTTAAAGCATTTTCATACTAAACTGACCAAATTTGAATGAATTTCACTATTGCAAATAATATATCTTTACTGACCTAGACAGGTTTATATGTTTTTGCCTTTTCACTGTGAACGCAAATTAAATAAGAAATGAAACTTTGCGTGTTATAAACAGCTAAACTAATAAATTAGGATTAAAATAAATTTTAATATTCTCAGTGCTATCTTGAGTCTCCACAGCAGAGACGAGCTCCTAACCTCTGGCTGTGGGCTGAGGTCCCTTTAGTGGACAGGGGCTTGGCAGCTCAGCCCTGCCCCCTGGTGTCTGACTGAGGAAGCAGTCTTCATCCTTCATCTGCCCCCCTCTTCTTCATCTCAGCTGCTCTTCTGTGGCTCCATGTGTAGCGTCGGCCACACTCCACACAAAAACTGAAAACACAATACAAATAAAGTCCTTTATGAAGCAAAAGACTTGTGACCATAGACTGCATAAAGAAACTGGACTAAGTTAATGTGACGTCACCCATAGTGTTCAGCTCCAGTCAAAGTAAGCACATGAGTCTTGCAGTTATAGAAGCAAATTTGGAGCCAATTTCCATATTAGGAAAAGGAATTTATTTACAGACAAAATAGCAAAATAAAAACACCAGGATACTTAAGACAAAATATACAAATTTGACTTTTAAGAGCTTTTAACCACTTTACATAAGGGTTTGAATTGTCCTGTACTGTCCTGCATTTAAATGTTCAGAAAATAAGTTAAGGTTGCACTTAATTGCAATTAATTATTTGAAAATACATATACATAGGATTAAAAAATGTTGAGTCAAAATCAGCTACATGCTACTGTGAAATACCACTATGAAGAAAAGGCCTTCCTGGTTTTTAAGAGGAAGTCAATGGAAAAGTTCCTATTATTAAGATTTTTTAGATCAATATTGCCATTCACTTAACAGCAATTAACAAATAACAACAACTTTTTGAAATAGTTCAATACTAACTACAGAAAAAAAATACTGTATTCAAGCATACCTTCACTTTTGGTCTGTACTTGAGGTAGGTTGCTCTGATTTGCAGGCTGAAAAGAAAATGTTTGTATTGGTTTTTTTTTTTGTTTTTAATAAACAGAAAAAAAAATCTAAATATGCAGACTTGTTTTCAAACAGAAGCCCACCTCAGAAGTATGTGCAGGTAAGAACCAAGGCCTGTTAAAATGTGCCACCATGCATGAAACTGTGTCATCACCACTCCAACACCAGAGGGCAGTGTTTGTCTACTGGCTCTGAAAGGGCAAAAGTGTTAAAGCATTAACGGTCTATAAATAATTATAGACAGCATTCAACCTCTGAGTTAAAGGTGCATCGTGTAACTTTTCAGGTGGAGGGTCCGTCAAATACTTTTCTCTATGGAGATGTTATTGCTTTGTCTGGAATGTTTCACAGTATGGCATTAAACCTTTCTATCTCCATGGAGACCAAACCAGACCAAGTTACAGGTTAGATCTATGGAGAGGCAATGGCGCTTTCCTAGGTATTTTTGAATTATAAAATCACTTGTAATTGAATAAAAGTAAGGTAGAGCTGTTTAATGTCATACTCTGGAACATTGCAGGGAGAGCAATAACATATCCATCAAAGCAATCAAAGCAAGCAACCAAAAAGTTACACAGTACACCTTTTCTAGTCACAAAATCTCACTGTTCTTCAAAAGTGTTGAGCTGTAGACAATATCATGACCTAGAAATTACCTTTTAAGACTATGCAAAAAAGAGGTGTAAAAATGTGTTGTCAAACTGTGTGTACCTTAATGAGTCACAGAATATGTTGTCAATATTCCACAGTAGAAATCCCAACATGAAGATTCCTAAAGAAGTGTAGCACAGCGGCTTCAGCCATGGGTACACCCTATAAACAAGATTACAAGATTATTAAAAACACAGGAGAGCTTCAGAGGATTATTTCATAGTTAAACAACCAGAAGAGGTCCTCCTCAAGCAAAGATGATCATGCTTGTAGTACATGAACTTGTGACAGAGTAAAAAAAAGTGGTCCAATATTATTATTATTTGGCTTTATACATCTTTGTATGTTTTCTTTAAATTATTTTTATGATTTTTTTTTTTCATTTTACTTATATCAATTATATCAATAGGGATCGGGGATAGAAAAAAAATGAAACAAAACATAATTATTATGTAATGTCAATCAAGAATATCATTTTCTTTTATGAAACCTTGACACAATAAAGTATCCCATAAAAATGGTCAAAAAGCTCCGAGGCACTCTGTTGGAAATATTCCATAAATCCTTTATTAATTACATGGGACAAACGTGCGTCAATGCAGTTAATGTCTTTATCAGGGCATGTGGCTTTTTTTACTCACATGTAACTTTTTATTGTACAAGCATGGTCATCTTCACTGTTTGCTATAAAGATTATTATTAGAAACCTACACTGTGAGGAGTATGGCCTTTCTTTAGACAATCTGATCTTCAGTCACTTACCACGTAACAATAAAGATAGACCGTATCACCAGGCACGCTACTAGGGCCCCATACATGACCTAGAAACCACAAACAAACAATTAAGTGCCAGTAGATAACAATGGACAGTTAACATTTTTATCATCATTTATCTGCCTGCATGTGGAGGCTAGTGCTTAGAACTATGGCCTTGGGTAATACATGGAGCATTATCGTGGTAGCTGTTTGGTTGACAGTTGGAGACAATGAACCATCCAAAAACTGTGATTAGTAAACAAAGGCTCTCCACAGAGACAAAGAAAGGCACCATTGTGACATTGGGCTGTTGACAGTGGCAACACAAAACTGCGTATCTTTCAAGTCACTAACAAGATCAGAACGCAAACATTAAAAGTCAAATTAGTTTCTTTCATTGAATACAGGAAAGTTGTAGAATTACTGAATCCTGTAGAGTTGTTAAAGGGGCACTGCTCAACTTTCCTGTTGGAGGGTCAATCACATGCTGTTCTCCATAGAGATGTTATTGTTTTGCCTAGAATGTTCCATAGTATGATATTAAACATACCCATCTAGCATTTGCTCATTACAGGTGTTTCAAAAATAATTCCTTTTGTAAATGGGGGCGACTCTCCACAGATCTGGATTGTAAAGTAGTGTAGTGCTTTAACTTGCTCGTCCCCCTCATAATAGAGGTTTAGTCTATACTGTGGAAGATTCTAGTCAAAGCAATAACATTTCCATGGAGACATCAGGTGATGGACCCTCCACTAGAAATGTTACACAGTGCACCTTTAAGTGCAATGTCACTTCTGGGTCCAAGACAAGGAAATATTGTGGGAAAATTATAAAAAAAACAAAAACAGAAATAAGCTGTGAAGTTTCAATTTGAACATCATAACTTAACAAATAAAAATCTGGTTGGGCTCCGCCATCTGTCAACATCAAATTCATGAATTCCAAAAATGCTGTCAAAACTTTGATTAAAATGTGTATCTTAAATCTCAAAATCTCCAAGGGAAATGCATGTATATTCGACTTAGAAACAAAAAATACCTTAAAGAAAAAAAAATATATAACATTAGCCCAAAATAGTTTCCTCACATACCTGATGAAATACTGGCTCCTTCCACTGTAAATACACCTAAACACAGAAACGGCCTTTACAGTGGATTCTAATGACAAATATGTTTGTGTTGTTTCTGATGATAGTGCACTTACCACAGATACAGATATACTGAAGAATAATAATAATGCAATTAGAAAGAAACTTATAGTCTTCTCTTGTTTGAAGCATTCATACCTAAGGAAATATAACAAAAGATTATGGAAAATAACAATGAAACTGGAGATGCAAGGACAGTCTAAATCAATAGTTCCACTGCTTTCACTGCAATTTTCCCATGGAAAAAATTGTGGTCAGTCAAAAAGTTAGTTTTTCTGACACAATCCCAACATTGTGGATCAAATATTTATTATAGCAGTAATAACTAATAACTGAAAGAATAAAGAATATGCATTTGTTTCTATAAACTTTTGGACTATATATATGAATAAATAAAGTCACTTACAGACAGTAGACAAAAACACAGGTGCTGTAGATCATTGGCAATTCATCAAGTAACTGCAAGTAACAAAAATATTAAATCATTTATAAGAGTACTTATTAGAACAGAAGAGTTCTTATTGTGGTATAAGCAAAATAAAAAAATATCCATACATAGAGCTGAGAGGCATATTGACAAATTGATAATATATTGCAGTTGTTGTTTTGCAGACATATAAAATAGTAATATCTATGTTTTTACACATATGAAAACAATAAAAAAATAACATTAGAAACAGACATAGATGTCAAATGTAAACTACCAAACAAGGGCATATCGCATGATAGTTTTATATATGTTAGAGTAATTACTATATTGATTTATTGTTCAGTGTATGTATGATGTCATTTTTGGGGGTCAGTATTTATCATGGGTACTTTTTCTTTGTTCCAGTGGAGAACATTTTGATATTTTTCTGTACTATGATTAGATATGAGCTGTAGAGGATTGAATAGATCATTTCTGTGATTCATTAGAGATAAAAACAAACTACTAAGTGATTCATTCAGCTATTTATTTATTTCAGTTTGTGTTTTTTTAAACATGACCATTTTAAGAATAGTTTTCTGGGGATGATTCAACTTTATTTTCAGTATCAGCATTTGTCATATATATGGTCTTCAGCAATATATCATACTTCTAAATTTGTTATAATGACAGACCTAAATAGTTCTGCAATTTTGTGATTCATTTTGTATGATTCTTGTACCTAAAACTAGATATGCACATTCCAGATGCACTGTTAAAATATTGTCAGAATATTGTTATTGAGGTAATACAAACAAATACTGATACCTTTTCATAAACTCAAATAAGTATTTTATGAAATGATTAAAAGGTTTATATTATGCTGTTTTCTAATCTATGCTGTAATGTTGTTTCCTCATCAAAAACATACCTGGAGTTGTGTTTTGTTTCATTCACACATGTTTAACACACAAACCCGGCATATTTACACTGGGTTCTTCTCTCAAACACTGTGTTCCACTTTGTGATGTCATGTGGTAATACAAGAAATGATCCATTGTGATTTAAAGTCCCTACAACTTCACTGGAATCATCTGGATGATTTCAGCCCTAGACTTGCCAATCTCTACTGAATTAAAGATAAAATGTACATAGCTGTCGATATGAAAACTACCACTCCATGACATCACAAGGTGGAAGAGAGCATTCTGAACTTTGAACTACTGATAGACTAACAATACAGGATTATTCAAACCTGTGTGAGTGAAACAAAACAACACCAGGTATGTTTTTCATGATGTAAGAGCATGGCTTAAAGCTCACAAGAATCAATGTTGTGTAATATGGGACCTTGTATCTGATAGAGAAATTGCAATACTGTAGTAAGGACATCTCCATCTCTAACACTGATATCTTGCCTACCTCATGAGTGGTTATAACACTCCCTACAATAGAAGTATAAAATATCTGAAGTAGCCCAAAAGTTTATGAAGAGAGACAGGAGACTATGGATGTCTAATGCAGGAAATGTTTGTTTGTTTACATATTTGAGTACCTTGTTTTTTTTGCTACATATTATTAGCTACTTATTTTTTATTTACTCTTTACTTTTTACTCTTTGTTATTATGTTTATGATTATGTGTGAGCGACAGTGTCCAAATAATTTCCCTTGTCGGTCAATAAAGTTTGCCTAAGTCTAAGTCTATTAGTGCAGAACCCAAAGAGATGACCCTCGTCTACACATTGTGGTAGAATTGTCCTTTGTCTTAAGTCTGCCCATGCTTTCAGTCCGGGGAATATTATAACCTCTGATGACATGGACTAAGTAACAAGGACTGAACTGGAGGTGTCCTTGGAACAGAAGTCCAATTTCTCAGTATCCTTGTGATTCTAGGTTTTACGATTTGCTGATATGAATTGCTAGTGTTAGCCCACAGCTTGTCCTAAATTATGAGTTCATATATCTTAATTTTTAGGGTTGCTGAAGGGTTGAACAAGTAAATGTGTCAATCAAACTAAATTATTGCATAATACTTGCCAGGCAACCCAAAACCACAAGCTTTGTCAATAAAAAGGGAGGGACTGTCTGCGTACCACTGTAGATTCTTATATTGTGTACATTCATTACAAGGACTATTTTACTACATGTCATCCAATTTAAAGTATAAAATAGCATTTGTTTATTTTAAGATATAATAGAAACTGTTTAATAAGCATCCCCAAGTGTGAAGTGAGTTAGCTTTTCCTTTTTCTTCAACAGCTCACCTGCATTTCATACAGCAGCGTCATGTGGAAGCACCAGGACCCAATGCCAACAGCTGTAGAAGACAAGAACAAGAACTTAAACCTGTATTTATACAACAACAATACATTTAAAGGTACAGTATGTAGCCTTGTATTTTCAGAAACATGACTACTATCTTCAGCTGTTAACAGACACAATGTAAGCATGTCCAAATCAAATACTTGTCTTACATACAATAATTGTCATGCTGGTTTGTTTTTAATTACAAAAAAACACTGTACATGCTGGCCAAGTTGTTTTTGTTGTAATTTGGTGTTTTAGTGCTCAAAAAAATTATCCAATCAAAAATGAGTATGAACTTCTCATGAGCATCCCATTTGGGTTGTCAGTTCCAATGTCTAAATCCAAGTTGGTTTAAACTTAAACTGTCTCTCTCTGATCTGAATCCTCACTACCTAAACCTCGGCACCTGAAGTCAGTCATGGATCAGTGCTAGTGCAGCCTCTGAGTGAAGTCCAGAAGTTATGGTATGTCCTGTCCATGTTCTGAAAATGAGAAAAACTTGTATGTGTCCCCTATATGCAATTGGCAACCCAGGTTTAGTTGTGATTGTACTTCATTTGCAACCTTTACCTTAATTAGACTTTAAACATACCTGTCAGTCCTATAAAAGAACATACATATCGAAACTCCAGTCCATCGCGAAACGTCTGAATGGCTCCACAAATGGGGGGGATGATCATAATAAGATTGCTAACTGTGTTCCCTGTTAAAGACACAAGAGAAGGCATTAGTGTTAGAATATAGTGTATAGCACAGGCATAACACACTGACGCTAGCTGAGACAATAAAAGCAAAAGTGCCAGATATTTTGTTACGGCAACCCGAGCTGAGCACAAGGAGTTCACAAAGAACCCTGACTACAAAAGACACAGGCTGTGAAGAGAGGCTATGTATTTGTATGCTATAAATATTTAATGCCTGCTTAGCGAGCTATTGTTTCTAGTGTCATTTCATTGTCCTTAAGCCTTAGCTGTTGAGGTGATTTATAACTGTTTTAAATATGTTGCTGTCTGCAGATCAAACCACGGCTGTGAATGCAAACTCTGTCCCCTGAAGCCATGTCTTTGCTGTAAGTGAATAACTGCTATGTTAATACCTTGTTAACACTACAAGGAGTACAGATCTCACCCAGAGCCTGTAGTTTTCCTTGCAGGTGTGGCCTTGTTTAAAAGAAGACACAAGCATTACCAGGATGTGTTGGATGCTTATAGGCGTATGCTGCTACTGACTGTTAATATGACATATGATTTGGCCTTCAGTTTATCTAATGGCTGCACGTGTCTGATAAAGGTCAAGGCACTTTCAGAAGACCATGGACTAACATTTTTTTTCTGTGGACTTTGAATACTGATAATATTTCTGAAGTTAAACCTTGTCTAAGTGGTATTTACATTACATCAGTCACTTAAGCCTTACGCACACCTCTTCCTGATAATTAAACAAATAAAGAACAATAACATCCATATACCAGGACTTAACTCATTTGATGTGTGGCTTTGCTTTAAACTCACTCACATTCCAGCTTTTGTCACCTGAATCTGCGTTTCAATGCCAAACAATTGTGCTGCTGCTGAAAACAATCACTTGGCCAGGCCAGCATGTGTGTCACCAGTTCAAACAACCACCTCAACTGTCAATAACTGTGAAGTGCTGAGAGACTGCAGACCTGTGAACAGTTTTATGACTGGAACCAATACACTCTGTTCATTTGTTAAAGAAAGCATATTCCTATCATATTTTAGCTTGATTACATACCATTCTATTGCACTGAATGGACATAGGCTAAAGTTTATACCACCTATGCCCACATACTGTTATTGTTACAATGTAAGTACTTAACATCACAGTACACAGGTCTCACATGGGGCCAAAATAAGGGACTAAAGGCCACACAGTGTGTGACAGTCATCTCTAACAAGCCGGTATGTGCTGGCACTTTAGGGAGCATTGCAAAGCGAAGTTCAAATCTAAAGATAAAAATCCTGGCGCAACCAGTTTTGTCTTAGTAGACAAAGCACGTGTACAAAAGAACGAAAGATAATTTAATGGCAGAATACTACATTGTCAGTAAATGAGGCGCACACATGGGGGACCACATTGTTATAGCAAGTGTAATACGGTGACTTAAAAATCTCACTTGAAAGCGTCGGCATCATTTCTCTTCTGAGACTAATAACCCACGAACCAGCTTCATGCAGAGCACACGAAGCTGTGCCATATTCGCTTCATATTCCTTTTCATTTTCCTTCCCCTACTCTGTATTGGACATACTGGGCTATGCTGACAAAACGTTAAATCTGATGTGCTGAAATGATCCAAAATAAAGTCAGAGAATTAGCAGACCATTAGCCAGCCTCTTGTTTACGTTCAGGGGCGACGTTCGTGCACAGAGGACTGTGTCCGCGCGCAGCCAAACGCTGTTAATTAGTCATTTTGGAGCCAAAAACACGTCCACGGTACTTACAGAACTCTGCGATGTAATAAGACACGACATAATTTTCTTCACACCAGTCCAGAGTAGAGGTGGGTCGCCCCCAGTATCCTTGCCTGTCCGCGGAGGGAGCCATGATGGAAGAGAACAGGCAGTGGGCGCTCACGGATTTGCCCCATCTCCAGCCCGCTCCATGCTCACTCCTCCTCCTGGGCTGAGGTCCGCCGCCAGGCCAAAGCAAACACCACTCACCCTGTTACATTAATTATTAATATGCACCCAGTAGCAACACTGTAAGCACCGGAGCATGGCGAGGCAAGACAAGGAAATGCACAGAAGAATACTACTGTCTACTGACTAATTGTCATAAAGGGTGTGTCAAATAATGTCTGCAGATTTGTTGCTGTAAAAAAAATAAAAAAAGAAAGAAAAAAGAAAGAAAATAAATCAAATTTTTCGTATTATGTGTTTTTTACCATGGATCGATTAGCCTTTTGGTAACCAAAAGTATTACTAAGAGTTCTCCTCTAGATGGCAGAATGTACACGGTGGTCGTGGCGAACAAGGACAAAACTAGTTTATTGGCCGAATTAGTTAATAATCCGAATCATACTGTTTATTAAACCATTTTTCTTGCGAAGGAATTGTCTGTTCATATGAAAATATGCATGTTTATAGGCGGAGCTTACTGGTGAATAAAGAATACCAGAACTGTAACAGTGTTCTGGTCTACGCTACAAAACTTTACGCTATATATGATCATGTTTTTGTAGCTATTGTTTTCATCTGCATCTGAAGAAATATATATACACACAGACTATACAGAACATGTTATTTTATGTTTTGTTTTGTTTTTTTTATTGGCAATAAAAAAAAAAACACATAAACACAAAAACAGTGGTGCGTTGGGACTGTAAAACATAATTTTTCTTACTTAAAGTGTAGGCTTTCTTTGTATGGGACTGTAAAACAGTAGTCTCTGGAATGCTTTATTTGATTCAGAGGTATGCTCATATTGCTACATCTTTTAGTGTTGCTTAATTTAAACAAACATATTTATCAGCTCAGTGGTTACAACTCATCTCTCATTTTCTCTCCTTTGGGCCTCAGCATTCTGCCAATGAATAGAATAGTATTAGTTTTCTGGTCTTTCACTAAGAAGATAAAAGGGTGGTCAGCATAGAAGAGTTTGGGGTGCCGAAGTTTTTCCGATGAGTAGATGCTCGTGTCCATCTCATTCCCATCTGTGTCCCATTCCAGGGCTGAAGCATGGAACACACTGGACAGGTACAGATCCTTCTTCCCAGACATGTTGGAGAAGTCAGCTTTGGATTTGTCCACAGCTTCGGTCAATCCCAGCTTCTCCAGGTATTTCTAAAAAAAAAAACACATAGATAAAGCATAATTATGTAAGCTTACTGACAAATTGTGTATTCTTGTGTTATCTTTATATTAGTCCAAGCTTTAAATGGGCATTATGTAACTTTACTGCTGGAAGGTGTCCATGGAGATGTTATTGATTTACCTAGAATATTTTACAGTGTAGCCTTTAGCTCAAAACATGCACTCTTACTGTGACTGGGCTAGAAATAGGCCAAGAAATAAAAGGCAATAAGATCTAGTCAGTCTAGTCAAGTAGTGGTGGTGGAGGCTTTTCTAGAAAAAAATTTCATAATGCACCACCTGCAGACAGTCTGCTGTGTTCCATTAAACCACAACGGTTAAATTTGCTTCTCATTTGAATCATCCCACACTAATTACTACTGTTTATTTCCATGACTCATCTGGGATACCTGCTACAGCCAACAAGAGAAGCACATTGATACACTTTATCTTACATTCTGCCCTTAAAGAGAGTGGATGTGAAATTAGCCAATATGAACTATATATGTCTCTAGGTAAACAATCAAATATTCTTTTCACTGATAATTATTGTGATTTTTATTTATTTATAGGCAGGCCAACAATCTCTGTCTATCTGTCTTGTGAGTAACTGTGTCCAAGTAATTTTCCTTGTGGATAAATAAAGTCTGTCTAAGTCTAAGTCTAAGTCTAAGACTGATCTGAATGTGTACCTAAATCCCAGCACCTGCAGCCAGTCATTATCAGTGCTATTGCAGCTTGTGCAGCTCAGTGAGGGAATTCTGGAGGTTCTGAGCTTTCACATGAAACTTCTGTTTATAATCTTAATGTCTCTGTACATTGTTGCTTCAAATAAATCCTGAACTCAAAACCAGACTAAAACAATTTTACAGACAAATTGTAATGGCTAAATAGCAAGATCAGAACCTTCTAAAACAGCTGACTTGTGTAAAAATTCCCAACCTGCAGTGGTCCAGTCGCCCATGACAGAAAACGCATGTTATTGTAAGATTACTATAAGACTTTCTACTATGAAGGAAGAGGTCAAAGTGATATATTTAAAAGAGTTTTTCCTTACCTGGAGGTTGTGACTGACTTCCATGCTGACTTTAGGCAGAGACACAGCCACTGCAGTCTCCTTGAGTTTGTTGAGCCATGAGTCCAGCTGTTTCTTGGTCAACATCTTCTCCAGTCTGTCCAGAGGCTCCACGTGGTGAGGCATGATGAACAGCATACTGGACTTCTTATGGGACAGGGGCATGCTCAGAATGGACAGTTTATTAGTGCTGTCATCAAAGAAGCCATAAAGACCTAGACAAAATATATTCAATGTTACTGTATTATGAAATGTAGGGAAGTAAATGTAACCATGGTCCATCACCTGCTTATTTCTCTGAATATGTCATTGCTTTCCCTGGAATGTTCCACAGTATAAACACAGCTGTACCTCACATTTATTGAATTACAGTTGGCTTTACAGCTCAAAATACCTAGAAAAACAGGCATTGTGACTGTGAGTGGGGTCGCCTCTCCACAGATCTGACCTGTAACTTGGTCTGGTTTGGTCTCCACGATGATAGAAATGTTTAATACCATACTGTAAAAGATTCCAGAAAAGCAATAACATCTCCACGGAGAAAAGTGTTTGATGGACCCTTCTTCAGAAAATGTACGCCTTTAAATGAGCACTACTTAACTTCTTTGGTAAAGTGTCTGCTACCATGGAGATAACTTTCCTTTGAAAAAAGAGAGTGACATTTTCCATTTTCACCTCACACGTGGCTCATAATCCAAGGGTCTACTCTTAGTGCTTTTTTTTTTTTGCCTTGTGATTATAGCTAAACAAATGATAACACATTGCCAATTTTACTGGGCATCAGATTGGTCAAAAACTGTACATCTTTGCAGAGGTGGGGACTTGCAAGTTGTGACTTGAACTCAAGTCAGACTTGAGTCACTATTTTTAGGACTTGAGACTTGATAAAATGGACTAAAACTTGGGACTCGACTTGGACTTAAAGGTCAATGGCTTGGGACTTGACTCAGACTTGAGGTCTGTGACTTGAGAAGACTTGAGAAGCACTTTTAAATCTGAATTCTTTCTATTCTGACTGTAATGATTAACACATTTAAAAAGGGTAACTTAACATTTCTACAACACTTACATACTCTATAAATACTCATATATAAATATACTATGACTTTATAAGGACGATTTAATTTAAAAGTTATATAAATCTAAGCTATATTTGGTACTTTGGTTTAAAGACTTGAAATGACTTGAAGCTCAAAGCAAATGACTTGGATTTATGGGCCAGTGACTTGAGACTTCACTTGGACTGCCTGTATTTGGCTTGGAACTTGACTCGGACTGGAGGTCATAGACTTGAGACTTATTTGAGACTTGCAAAACAACAACTTGGTCCCACCTCTGTATCTTTGTATAAAACTGAAACAAATCTGATTTGGGATAAATCTGCTGGGACAGGAGACACAGGGCTCAAAACTGTGACTGTGCCAGGTAAATGGGGACGTCTGGTCACCCTACTCTAATCTAGTATCAAGAATGTGGATGGGAGTTAGACACAGTGACTGAGGGCTGATACAAAGTGTAGTGCAGCAGTAGTAGTACCTGTACGGTGCATCATCTGGACAGAGACAGTGTAGCTGTTTGGAACCATGAAGCCACGATTGTCCACCATTTTGTGATGAAATTGCTGATCCCAGTGAGCTGTGACAGAACACAATCTGAAATCATGTAGCTTCAAGTACATGTGACAGGTCAGACTACTTATTTAGGTGAAGTCTATAATTTTACTTACAGCAGTTATGATATACTTAGAGGTAATTCAGTAACTGTTACTTAGCAACCATAATGTTAACCAGGGTCAAATCTTTTTTACACAATTTACACAAGAGAATATGATTAGATTTATGAAAATAAATGACCGCACCTTTATTACGTTAAATTAAATGACTTCCTTTTGCATAAATTGTCCTTGCATTTTGGATTGAACTGGACGTAACTTGCTATTTTTTACTTTTCTTCTCACCTTTTTTTCCACAAACTGCCACTTAACTGATGTAAAACTATGATAAATATTTACCAGACGTCTTATCCCACCAAACCAAGTAACAATTTGAAAAACATGAAAACGTGTCATATGCACTTTTACACAAACTTTTGAGTTTAAAGTCATCTTATAACGTCATAACTCATCAAAAAAATACCTTGAGTTGTGTTTTGTTTCATTCACACATGTTTGAGTAACCCTTTATTATTACTCTATCAACATCTTGTGATGTCATGATGTTCAAGTTAACAGCTACTTTTTTACCTGTTTCTTAGTAGAGATCATCTAAAAAACTCTAGTGAAGGTGTATGGAACTTAAAAACACAGTGGAGCACTTCCTGTAATACCACATGACATCATGAGGTGGAACAGTGTTTTCAGTTTGGGAGAAGAACGCAGCCTAAAAATGCTGGATTTGTATGAAGATAAAGATTTGTGAATCAAACAAAACAAAACTCCAGGTATGTTTTTGATGAGTAAACACCATTATAGCATAGATCAGAAAATAGAGTAATGTAGGCCCTTTAAATATACATGATAAAATACTGCATATACTCACGTTTGAAGAACATGGCGTTTACAATCATGGCTCCATCTGTCTTCTCCACCTCTTTAGTCACTTCCGGGAGTTTTCCATTGGTTGACTTGGCTGCCCATTCATTTATAGAGTTTAGTGCGCTTTTCTTGTCTTTAAAACTAATCTTGGACTGGTCACAGTTGTAATGCTTCTTGCTATTCTTGACAAAATTATCCACAAAGCTGACAGAACTGGGCCCATAGAGGCGATTGTTGATCTTCCAGGTTACATTGCGGGTTTTGGGGTCACTAACTTCGCTCAGCAGTTCAGATAGACCAGAGTGCAACTGGTCGTCTTTCACTCCAGCTGCTTTTAAAATAGTCTTGACCTGAGATGCAGTGGATGCCTTTCCCCCCAAAGCTACCAGACCCAAAGATGAAGCTACTACCACAGGAGAGATCGCGATATTTTCCACGTTCTTCTCCTTAGCCATGTTCTGGTACAGTGTGAAGCCCAGATTGGCAGACTGGTCAGCCAAAACGGTGGCATGGTTACTGAGGACTTTCTTGGGTGATGCAGAGGTAGCAGCAGAGACAGCGCTTACGATCAGTGCCAGTGTTACTACGTTTGTAATCCACATTTTGAAACCTAAAACACAAATAGTATGATCACACACATTACTGGTTATAACAATATTCACAATGTTAGAATTTCTTCTTCATTATATATACATATTATTATTAGTTTGTACGGCCATAAACAAAAACTAAAAAATTATTACATTTTTTCATTCTCATTATGGTCTACTTTCTACAGTTATAAACAATGAACTTTTGTGACTTGGTTAACATTACTATTAGTTTGTACAATCATAAACAAATAAAACAAAAAACAAATCAAAGCTGGCATCTTTAAAAAACAAAAATGAACATAACAACTAAGGAAATAAGTGATTGTATTTCTGTTAGAGGGGTTAGTTTATAGAACAACCTGAGTGATGAGTATAAAGCATTATGTTTTGAAAGATATAGAGCTCTGAAATGAATGAATTATGCATTAAATTTTAGTTTGTTTTAATTTATATTTTGTCTCTTATATGTACAGTTGTAAATGTAAGCTTGTTCATGTGCTGCTTTTCTTTCTTGAGATTCTGTTATTGTTTAATAGGATGTGGTACTTTTGCAAAATGACCCAATAAAAAAAATAAGAAGAGAGTGATTTGTTTGTACTTTGGGTCACAGTACTACCTGGAGTTGTGTTTTGTTTCATTTACACATGTTTAACACACAAACCCTGCATACCTGCAAACTGAAAACACTCTGTTCCATGTTGTAATATCATGCGGTAATACAAGAAGTGCTCCACTGTGTTTTTGAACTCCACGCACCTTCACTAAAATCGTTCGGATCATTTCAGCTCTGGAATGTCCCATCTCTACTGAACAAAAGGTGTAACAGAGCATTCTGAGCTTTGGCAATGAACACAGACTAATAATAACAGCCAGACAGACTAATTACATGTGTGACTCAATTCCAGGTATGTTTTAGATGAGATAACAGCTTTCTAATATAGCTTAAAAAGAGTTCACAAGAGTCATTGTCATGTAATATAGGATCTTAAACTGGAAGATCTAGCCAATTAGTAAAATTATGTGGCTTGGTTCAAAATATTTGAATATTTTCTAAATTACAATGATTAATGTTTGTATTTGTTAAGCTCAAGAAATTAATATTTATGTCTTATCATCACAACATCATGGTTTTCTTAGGTCTGTTATTACAAAATACTGACCATGTCTCCTAAAAATCTTGTTAGGTGTTACGATTAATGAATGAATGTTTATTCAGACATACATAGAAAACATAAATACATAAATATAATACAAACAGTAAATATTTCTTTTCTATAATAATAATAATAAAAAAATGTCTCTCAGATTTTACTTATGTCTGAAAAAGGAGTGAGAGGAAGTAAATTCTTATTTAACCCCACCCCTTTTTCCTACAGTCCCAAATGAGCAAAGAACATATAGACTTCTCATTTCCTGTACAGTATAAGCTATAATTTAACAGTACCCGCATTTCATTACAAATCTAATAACAACAACAACAAATATATGTATATTATGTACACATTAATAATATATATTATATACATACATATACACTAAGCACTAATTTCTTCAGCACAGTATTTTCAGATAATCCCCTTTTTAATTGCACTTTTGAATACTTGTATATTTGGACAAAGTTTTAGTTTTATTTTCATGTTGTTCCATAATTTTACACCACAAACAGATACAAAAACTCTTCCTTGATAATATTACAATAAAATTAAGTTTCAAGTGCATCCATTTTATATTTACCTTGAATTGACCACAATCATACATACTTTTACTAGTTACTCTGATGTTTTCATCCTATTACCATGTTGTTATAAAGTTAGCTGCTACCATCTTTGTATATTGCAGTTTCGCAGTATCACAGCAGGATCTATTTCTTGATGTAGCTGTGGGCCAGGCCTTACATAAGAGCCACGTTGGCAGCTGCACGTTTGTAAACCACAACATCAGCTCCTTTTTCAGATTCATATCATGCGCCCAGATTCCTACAGAGATCTTTAACACATAAGAAGTTTGCTCCAAAGATGACTGGTTGTTCTTCCTGCGTCGTCATGGAGACACCTGCATACAATGTCAGAGTGCAGGTGCGGTCATGAGGGCTGCAGCATCCCATGGGCAGAAGGCTCAAGTTGCAAAAATATCAAATGACGTCATTGTTTGTTCATGTACAATATTAGATTCAGTCAGGAGTAGCACTTTTTGACTCTCCTCTAAACCCCCTGACCTCCCATAAAGCTGCCTTTCGGAGTTACTTATTCTTGGATTTCGAAAAGGTGCACTGCGTAACTTTTCTAGTGGAGGACCTGTGATTTGCTTGTCTCCATGGAAATGTTATTGCTTTGTCTAGAATGTTCCACAGTATAGCTTAAGGCAAGGCAAGGCAAGGCAAGTTTATTTGTATAGCACAATTCGTACACAAAGTAATTCAAAGTGCTTTACAGAATAAGAAATACATTAAAATCATAATAAAAACAAATCAAAACATAAATAATCATGAAGATTAAAATGAAAAAAGAGAGACAAAAATTGGAGAGAAGACCTATCTATCACGAGGGAGACAACGACAGGCTACATTACAAATTGGATCTGTGGAGTGGCAGTCAGATTCACAGACAGAAATATTGTATTTTTGAGCAATAGAAAAGCCCATAATGAATAAATGCTAGATGTATATACTTTAGGTCATATCATGAAGTGGAGCCTCTACCAGAAAAGTTGCGTAGTGCACCTTTAATGTAGTTAAATTGTCCCTTGGGTATAAATAAAGTTATACTCATTGATTAAAATAAGATATTTAAAGTGCACCATTTGGCTTTCCCATGTCAGGATTCTGGACTTTCCCTACTGAGCTGATAGAAAGGTGTAAAAAAGATTGAAAAACCATGCATCATCAACACCAAAAAGATCACCACGTGGACATTTGTGAAGATGCAATTACATGCAGACCAAATTAGATCTTTAGCCTTTTGTCTCATTTTCTAAACTCTCAGAAACTTTAGCTGTATTGTTCCCATCCACAGAGGAATCTCATATCTCACTGATCTGACATAGTGGCCTCTTTTTTACATGCCTAGACAGTTCCCATGGTAATTCCCTGCCCCCATAGCACCATTGTTTATTTTACCTTAATATCTGCCTCCAACAGGTCCCAGCTGTTGTCCTAGGAGTGATTGTGCAAAAATGCAGAAGTTACAAACTGTCAGGAGCAGAAATGGAGCCGGTTTTCATGCTGTGAATAAAAGCAGGAAAACTCTGGGAAGAGGAATTCAGTTTCTGGATGTCCCGCCCAGAGTATGTATCCTGAGGAAGTGGGGGGAGAATCCAGCCCCTCTTGGTCCTAAAGCCTGAGTAGAAGACCACTTTTAAGCACTATGTATGCATATGTAGGTCAAAGTTTTGTGTCATCATATTTCATGTGATTTCATAGAGGTAAAGCATGTACCATACTATGATACGGTTTTCAAAAGAGCAGTGAAGAAGTTTGTTGAAACTGTTGTAAAGAAACTTGATATGTTTTAGTTCTGGATGTGCAGTTTCTTAGCCTAAAGACAAGTACATTCCACATCACTCCAAATGGATTATTTTTCCATATCATCTGATGGCACAAATACGTGTTATGTGAGCCTTTTTGTTCAGTTTAATATATGTTAAATGAAATACTTAATGAAATATGTTTTCTCATAAACAGTGCATTTACATTTACAAATTCACAGAGCTTGGGCTAGCCTTAACAAAGAAAGTAAATGAATGAATGCAGTTGTCATTCTTGTTGCCCTGAAATCCCATGCTCCCTCCTCTTGGGGTCGTACAGTCTGTGGTGTGGGCGTGTTTGAGTTTGGAAGTGAGACAAATCACAGGACGCTCCAGTGGCACAGGATGTCCCCCACAAAGCTGTACTGTCCTGAGGGTAACAATAAAAGTAATATAAAAGTTATGTGTTATTAAGAAATAATGTTATTTAGTTTACATTATATTCATCCAGTAAAAAATAAGGTTTGTTCTTTTGATAAATTATTTTAGCTCACTTAAAGGGCCCATATTATACTTTTTCTGCTCTATTTTACAATTTTGTTTGCTTATTAAAAATATCTTTAGTAGTATTTTGTTTCATTCAGACATTTTAACACACAAACCCTGCATATTATTTTTTCTTCTCTCAAACAGAAAACACCCTGTTTCTCCTTGTGATGTCATGTGATAATACAGGAAGTGCTCCACTGTGTTTTAAACTCCATACAGCGTCTCTAGAATCATTTGGATGATTTCAGCCCTGGGATGGTCAATCTTTACTAAACACAAAGTAAAAGGAGCTGTTAACTTGAAAACTACTGCTGGAACAGAGCATTTTGAGCTGAAGATGTGGACAGACTAATAAATAATTACTTAAACATATGTAAATGGAACAAAACAGCACTCCAGGTATAGTTTTCATCAGGTAACAAGAGTTATAATCATAGTTTAAAGCTCACAAGAGTCAATGTTTGTATAATATAGGACCTTTAAAATGTTAGGCCTATTTTTCCATTCCATTATATTGTATTACTTATTTAAGACATGGCATCTGGCATGGCACGACAACACTCTCACACTGTGCATAACAGCGACCCCTAGCGGCTTTATAGAGATTTTTCCGCTCCTGTTCTGTTTCGTTATCGTCCACCAGAGGTCAGTAAAAAGCTGTATAATGAAGAGCAGACTACAGAAACTGGCAGCTTCTGATCTCTTACAGCCATTGTTTTTAGTTCTTTATTGATGACAGTAGTTTGTATAAATGTTTATTTTGTCTGCAGGGAGCCACTTATGACTGTTGGTGAAGTTATTGTGTTTTTTTATTTTATTTGGTCAGTGTTTAACTCATTACAGTCTACATACATTATATTCAATCAAGTTCAACAGAGGTGGGTAGAATATCGTAAATTTGTAATACTACTTTAAATTATTATTACTCAAGAAGAAGTAAAACATATACAATATCAAACATCTCAAGTAAGAGAATAAAAGTATTTTTGAGGAGATACTAGTAGCAGGACATAAAATTGTACATCTGTAATAGGACGGACAAAACAAATGATACACAGATTCTGGTATTTCCAAACACTTTTCACAATAATTACTCACAGTGGGAAGAGTACAAACTACTCAAAATAATATTACTTAAAGGTGCACTGTGTAACATTTCTGGTGGAGGATTCACCAGCTGCTTGTCTTGTTGGAGAAGTAATTGCTTTGCCTTGAATGTTATAAAAAAAAATTGATTATCACAATAGAGTTACTGGTCAGATCTATGGAGAAGCAAGCCCGACAAATACTTTTAAGATAAGTTTACTGTCATACTGTGGAAAGAAATAAGCAAGCAGCTGGTTCGTTGCTTTATAAGTTACATAGTGCATCTTTAAGAAGAAGTAAAAGTATGGTGTAAGAAAACTTTGCCGAAAGGTAAAATTTCTTCAAAAACTCAATGAAACGCAACTGAGTAAATGTAAATGAGTACTACCCACCTCTGTTTATAAGTACCGGTGAATTGTTTGGGATTAAAGGGATCTGACGTAATTATCCCAAGCCAAGGGTTAATCTGCTGCTAGGCCTGGAATAGATCTCCCACAAGACACTGCTCTGTCTCTTCACCAGGTGTGGTATGAGTGAGATAATTCACATTTTTAGTGAAATGCATAAATGAGTGAAATTTAACTATAATATATAATTTCCTTAGTCATTCAATAAATTAAGATGTTTTCTACTTGTTTTATTTTCTGTCTGTACAATGTATACACTTCAAAAAGCAATACTTGAGTTAAAATGACTTCAATTTAAGAACATTTTATTTTGAGTAGATTCCACTTGACAAGTAAGATTATGAATTAAGCATGTTTTTCTTAATTCAAGCAACATTAGATTTTGTTTCTTCAGTCTAGCAAGATGTATTTTCATATTTTAACTACGGAAAGTTCCATAATTTTACTTGTCAAGTGAAATTTACTCAAATTATGATAAAACTTTCTTAATTCATGTCATCTTAACTTGGCTAGATTTTAGTTTTTGCAGTGTAGCCAACATTATTCTCTCATTTTATTCAACTATTACAATTTGGATAGAAAATTGTAAGAAAAAACACTTAGGGTGACAACTTCAAATTGTAGAAAAAGAGGGACAAGTTTCAGAATTTGGTGGGACATGGTTGCTTTATATTTTTTAATACATACTGATATCTTGAAGTATTGAAGATGTGTGTTTTCTAGATCTCAGACAAGAGACATGGAGGACTAGAAAATTTAGGCACATATAATATCTGCAATACCAGCTTATGATTTTCAATTTCTACCATTTGACAGCATAACACAATTTTCTGTCCCTCACTTTTATAATTCAGGTGGAAACAATGAAAAAGTGTGACATTCTCTAAATAAGTGTAATAAGAGTAACCAAACGGAGGCAGGGTGGTCACTGTACCTGCACTGGTTCTAAACATATTTTCCTTGTATTTTAAAACTCATCCATCCCTTTTAAACAGAACACCTCCTCACTGTGGCTTTTTCTTGGCGCATTCCTAGAAACCGTATGATATCGCTCGCATGCCTGCTTTCCCCGGCAACTGCAGCCCTCCCACGGAGCACTTTAATGAAACGATTTAGTCCCTTCAAGTTTGATCTTCTCATAGTGGCATTCACAGCTAAAGCTATAGGGCAGAAGGTGGGTAAGAATGCTCATAGTGGCATTTCACGGTAACCTTTCCTTAGAAAAGAAACACTGGGAATAATATTACATTTTTTGAGTAAGATATAGTTTGACTGGTGTGTATTGATGGTCAGCAATTCACCTGTATGTCCTCACATCAATGTATAAGGCCTATCATTTAATGCAGTATTAGACTTGCCCCTTTCCAGAAAAAAAATGTTAAAATTGTCTCTTGTGAGCTTTGTCGAGTTAGAATGCTGTAACTTCATCACAAACATACCTGGAGTTGTGTTTTGTTTCATTCACACATTTGAGTAATGCTTTATTATTTGTTTGTCAAAATCTCCAAAGCTCAAAACACTCTGTTCCACCTTGTGATGTCATGAAGCAGTTATTTTCAAGTTAATTGTTACCTTTTACCTTTAGTTGAGCAGAGATTTGAAATTCAGGTTTGAAATCATCCAAATGATTCTAGTGAAGGTGTATAGAGTTTAAAAACACAATAGAGCACTTCCTGTATTACCACATGACATCATAAGGTGGAGTGTTTTCCATTTGAGAGAAGAACGTAACCTATATATAAACAGGATTTGTGTGTTAAACATGTGTGAATGAAACAAAACACAGCTCTGTGTATGTTTTTGATGAGGAAACAACATTATAACATAGATTAGAAAACAATGTAATATGGGCCCTTTAACTCAAAGTAGGGTAATTGTCGTACTTAGTAATGATTTTATTTGTTGAATGTAACTTTTCAGGTGGCAGGATCACTTAACTCCACAGAGATGTTATTGCTATTGATATGTTCCACCTTTTTATTGAGCATTTATTTCATTACAGGCTCAAAAATACTTTGAAACACCTGCATTCTTACTGTGAGTGTGGGCTTCGCCTTTCCACAGTTCTGACCAGTAATTTTGTCTGGTGGTGTTTCATTTGCTTGTGATCATGGATATAATAATTTAATTAATATAAGGCCATAAAGTACAATGTTTTAGACAAAGCAATGATGTTTGTAATAATATGTTTTTAGTCTCCCTTCTTCTTCTTTTCAAAGGTTAAGTGTAGGGATGTAACAATATCCAAATCTCTTGGTACGATATTATCACGATATTTATTGCAATATTTTGGAGATGCTAATATAATTATAGATAGGATGCTTCTTTGCTTTTAAAATACCTTGACAAAATTTTGGTGTGAATTATTACTGTCATAATCCCAAGAACTTCATGATGTCTGTGCTGAAATGAGTCATGGGATATGTAGTTCCCAATGTTTATTAGCTATTTCTACTATAAAAATGCATTTAGGCAAAGGAACATGTAATTCGATATATTGTGACAGTCCACGATAATATTGTAAGACTTTTGACGATTCGATATCACGATATTTCGGTTATTGTTACATCGCTAGTTAAGTGCAATGACAGGTTTACGCGTGCCTATTTGTTTTTGTAACTACTGAGAAAGTTAAACTACCAACTAATGGCTCAACACAAAGCAGTAAACTAAAACAGTGGATCTCAGTGTTTACTTTAGATGATACGTCTCCACCTGCTGCTCAGCCGATCTCATGTCAAGTGAAAAGCGATCCAGACGCACCTTCTCTCTGTTTCTCGTCTATAAATAACCCAGATGAGATTTTGTTTTACAGTGCGCTTCTTAGCCCCGCCCATACAGTGTCGGCAGGATTACTTTGATTTGAACTCTTCTGAGCGCTCCGTCCGTGCGTCTTTTCTCGACTTTCTATGAATTTACGCCACAATTTGGACTTCACTGCGCGTGCGTAAAGACGTCTCAACAGGTCCCCGCTGTCCACGTGAAAAGTGGGCTCATGTTGGCGATTGTTGTGCACTAGAGGGGCTGCCGTGGATCACTTACAGGATCACCATATGAAACTTCGAGCTGTGAGAAGACGCCTTGATGACATCGTCCAGTGAAGGTTAATTCATTGGACTGAAGAAATACCGTCTTTTGTGGAGCTAAGGTAAACGTCTGTCTGCGCATCATCCGATTATCTGCATTGTAATCCCACGAAAGCCTTTGTTAGATTAGTTGAAAAACAATTGGCACGGAGTTAATCAAAAATAAACGTGTGTATGCGTTTTTATGACATGCCCTTTAATGTTTATTTTAGATAATAAAAAAATTTAAAGGTGCATTGTACAACTTTTCTGGTAAAGGGTCCGTCCAGTGTTTTTCTCCAAGGAGATGTTATTGCTTTGCCTGGAATGCTTCACAGTATGGCATTAAACTTTCTATCTTCATGGAGACCAAACCAGACCAAATTACAGGTCAGATCTGTGGAGAGGCAACCCAGCTCACAGTGAGGATGCCTAGGTATTTTTGAGCTATTACACCACCTGTAATGGAATAAATGGTAGAGCTGTTTAATGCCATATTGTGGCACATTCTAGGGAGAGCAATGACATATCTAGAACAACAAGCAGGTGACACACCCCCAACCAAAAAGTTATATAGTGAACATTTTAGACAAAAGTTAGTGCCTGTGTCAAAGTCTAAAGGTGATTATAATAATAATTTCTGGATTTATGAATTGAATTGACTTTTTCAATGGGGGTTTGTCACCTGCTTGTTTCTGGCTATGTCACTGCTCTGCTTAAATGTTCTAACCTGATGGCTTCATCTCTAAACCACATGCTTTTATTGACAGAATTGGTTGTAGACCTCTCAATGAAACAAAAACAAAAAAAAAGTTTAGTTTACAAGTATCATTGACATTTTGAAATTATTCAAATCATATCTCTGTATTCGCCCAGCCCTAATTTAGATTATAAGCCTTGATTCAATTTGATTCTGCTCTTTAACAAACCATTGTGCTATTCATGCACATACCTGTAGTTATTTGATGTAATTCATAAGTCTACATGATATAGTACCATAAAACTATTCCAATCAGTGCGCTTCAAAGGTCCTATATTACACAAAATAGACTCTTATGAGCTTTAAGTCATGTTATAATGCTGTTACCTCCTCAAAAACATACCTGGAGTTGTATTTTGTTTCATTCACACATGTCTGAGTAATCCTTTATTATTATTATATTTTGTGAGATCATGTGGTGGTAGTTTGTAAGTTAACAGCTTTTATCTTTTGTTCAGAAGAGATTAGGAATTCCAGGGCTTAAATTATCCAAATGTTTCTAGTGAAGGTGTATGGAATTTAAAAACACAGTGGAGCACTTCTTGTATTACCACATGACATCACAAGGTGCAACAGAGTGTTTTCCATTTGAGAGAAGAGCTCACCTCATTTGAGTGCCAAACATGTGTGAATGAAACAAAACACAACTCCAGGTATTTTTTGATGAGGAAACAACATTATAACTCATCAGAAAATAGCGTGGTATGGGCCCTTTAACCAGACTGTCTGATGTCTCTTAACTGTGGCCTAAATGACTAATGTAGTTTTACTGTATAATTACGTATGTAGAAATTAGTCATGACGTGATTGGAGTTTTAAGGCCAAAATATCTCTTATTCAAATTAGTATCCCAAGCTTCATTGCCCTAATAACTATCTTGCTTGTGACGTCTGGGGTTGCCAGGTTGAGTGATATTCTGCAGCGTAGGAGGATCCCAATCTGGATGAGAGGCTCTTCAGACAGACAGACAGAGGGACGTGATGACTAAGCCCAGCATTTAAGTTGGCTGTGAATGTAACTTTCCAGCCTCCATGATCCCCTGTTCCTCCCTCTGTCTTTATAATAGACTAATGGAGCTCTATTTTGGGCTAATGGGCAGATTATGGGTATTATCTATGCATATACAAATTTAATAAATATTGTGATTCAGTGACCGGGGCAGTGACCGAGATGCAGGGCTTATAATAGCTTTACAGGGCAGCAACAAACAAAAAAAAATCACAGTCAACAGAGACAATTATTTATGTAGTACTTTGAGACTCTTCAGATACATTTTAACCAGATAAAAGTGAAAATATTTGGACTGAAGTGACTGACTACATTTTTAACTAAAAGGCTGACTGAAGGCTTCTAAATTGAGAATATTTTGAATAAAGGATACACTGAAGTGTATTAAAGTTTTTTTTGTTGTTGTAAAAAGGTCCTTTTGCATGTGTTTTAGTGTCTATTTTCTATAGAAATGATTATGATCACAGTAGTAGTATTAGTCCCTGCAGCCCTCGACTTAAGGCTTCTGAATAGAAAATTACAAACAAAATGTATTACTATCTAATACCAATGAAATCACAAATTGTCATACATTTTTGCTGTTTAGGCATTATAATACTGCTTTCTCAGTTATTTAAAAAAAAAAACCTTTTAGCTCTGTGTTTTAGAGTCTGTAAAGTTCAGATAATGTTTACTAAAATTAAACAGTTGATTAGTCGTGTTTATTCCTTTTAAACATTGCAGTTCTAAACAGGTTCTGCACTCACAGGCCTAGAGACATTGGCAAGCTGATTTATTGGGGCTATTATTCGATGAGCTCACGATTCAAAGTGGCACAATGAGACACCTGCACTCTTTAAGGGCCACGCACCAAGTTACCAGGCAACAAAGTGTGTGTGAGCAAAGCACTGGAGACAGTGCAGGGTCTTCAGGTACATAACAGATATCCTATAAGCCACAGGCACAAGAGGTCGAGTGTAAGCCCCTCCTCGGGCACAGAGGCAGCTCAGCTATAGTCTCAGTATTATTTACAGAAGGTTTAGAAGAAGGACTCTCAGCCTGTGGGGTGCGGACAGCTTCTGGACTGCTTTTTGCTGTAGTCTACATTAGGGCTGCATGAGCTGGGAAAAATATATAATTGCGCTTTTGTGTGATAAGTTTTGCGATTAGATTTGCAATTTATGTTTTTATTATGGGATTCTGTCCAAAATTCACATGACATAAAGATTGAAATAGGAACTGACAAACTACTAATACAAAACTCACACTTCAGAGCATGTTTGTGCAGATCTATTACAGGGATAGCATTTTTTATGCAGAATAAGATAAGATATTGATTTTTTATTTTATTTTTTTTTATAGAAAGTTGTTGTAGATTAGTAATAAGGATTACAAAAGCATAGCGCATGCCTTCTTGAATGTTGCTGTGTCAGAATGACTGAGAGAACAGTTCAGTTTGTCTTTAGGTCAGACTTTTATCAAACAGTTTCTGTTGTCTGCACAGAAGTGTGTGCATGCGATTGTGCTTTTACTGTAAATATGACATTACCCTTGACATTACCCATTTTATGTGCTGCAGGTTTTATTGGTGGATGTATAAACATCAAACTTATTGTTCAATGTGGACATTAACTACACAAGCCATGTGAATCTGAATATCTGAAGTCTGAAGTCTTGTTCTATGTAACATTTCTGTTGGAGGGTCCACCATCCATTTGTCTCCATGGAGACATTATTGCTTTGCCTGGAATGTTCCAAAATATGTTATTAATATTTCCATGGATAAGTAAGTGAATCCACTAGTTACAGATCAAATCTGAGGAGCAGTAAGCCCTCTCATAGTTAGAATGCAAGTTTTCCAGTTTTCCAGTTTTCAAGGTATTTTTGAAAAAAACAAAAAAAACAAAAAACACCTGTAATTGCATAAATTAAAGATAGAAGTTTAATGCCGTACTGTAGAATATTCCAGTCATAGTAACTGCATCTCCATGGAGACCAGCAGGCCTGTAAGTCTCCTCTCATAGACGTCTACTTTGTCAGCATACATTGTTCTTTCCACATCTTTGCTCCATTAGCACAGTAGTGTCCACTGCAGTACTACAGAAATACTTGAATTGCCTTTGGAAGACTCCTTTCTCATTGAGGCACTTCATGAGGTACTTTAGGGCAAAATCACTCTCATTTCCTTTTATTACCCTCACCAAGGTCATGTGATCAGCTTCTAAATTATAACAGAAAAAAAGTACTCTGCAGATTTTGATTAAACTTCGCCAAAGTGTACTTCACGGGCCAAGGACGAAGCTATTAAAATGTGAAGCAAATGCACGGAAAGAGCCAAGGCTGTTATTGCTTTTTCTAACATTGACATTGAGTTTTGATTTACTTAAATTACAGAAGTTGGAATAATGTGTTGTACTGCATATTCTAGCTTTGTGGTCAGAGATGTAAGAAAATTAAAGAAATGCTTTATGAAATACTGAATAAATATAACTAAAATAGCTGCATAATTTGGAAGAAACATCTGGCAGTGTTTTTTTAGTATTGCAAACAGTAAATTCCTGTTAAAAATTTAAAACAAATGTTCAAACTACACATTGTAAACAATTCCAACATTAACATTAGAGAGAAGACAATGAAATGATAATTCAAGAATCATGAAACATGTTTATATAAATCTAAAACAATGATGATGATTTTTTTATTATTTAAATAAATTGAGACCTTTGCAATGTGATAACTGCCAAATTGTGATTTGATTTCAATTTAATTGCGAAACTGGAAAGTCCCAAATAGCAATATTTATTTTGTTTTTTCAAAGTAACTTGAAAACGTATCCCTAATTCTGCCTGATTCTTAAAAGTTCACTGTGTAGCTTTCCACCATTTGCTTGGAATGTTCCACAGTATGGCATAAATCTACTGTATCTCCATAGTGACAAACATGTGATGCCAATAAGCTAAGTGACAGGACAAATCTGAAGAATGTTTTTCAAGTATTTTGGAGAAATAAATCACCTGTAATTGAATAAATGTCAAATGGATATGTTTAATGCTATACTGTGGAACATTCCAAAGCAAAACTATATGCAACTTATATGAAAGCAAGCAGACTGCGGACTCTCCACCTGAAAGTTACACAGTGCACCTTTAAAAATCAGTATCAGATATGGCTGCACTATGCATCATTTCTTTTGTTGTGCCCTCAGTATTTAACATTTTCTATGATGGATGCTTCCTCATGTTTAAAGGCAGTTAAAATGATTGATGAGTTGATTTGATTCACAAATAATTACTGCAGGGTTTACATTGTATTTTGCCTCCTGCCGTGTCAGTCTTTTAATAAATCTATCTGATGACATAACCCCATTTACGGTAATATGTGTTTCCATCCCAATTGTGCCAGACACTCTAAAATTAGAAAAGCGTATTGTGATCTTATCCAAGCCACTAAGATGGTGAGAGCTGGGCCCTCCTGAATGCTGCAGATATAAACTGCTCAGATAAAGGCAAGACAGCTGCTTGTTGTGTTAACCTGTTACTTGGAAACCGAGCCTTATCTGACTGTGTAGGCCATTTAATTATATTTCTAAATTAAAATACACACAATAGATGGAGTTAAATGAGAACTAAGCTGTGGGAGTTATATCTTTGGATGCTATAGACTTTATAATCATTGCAGAGTATGCTTGCAGTTTCCAAAAATATGTTTCTAAAAATATGACTTAAGAATGGATTCATCTAAAGATAGGAAATATGTCTTATTTTCTGGTGTTATTTTGTTTACCTTATACCATTTATTTTCTTCAATTTTATGTTGACAATTTAAAGCCAATAATATCTGCTTATCAGTATGAATTTAAACACATTTTTTTCAAGTCTGAACCCATAGACTGTGTATATAATGGACATAGCTAACTAAGGATGTAACAATAACCAAAATATTGTGATATCATATTGTCAAAGTTCTCACAATAATATCATGGACAATCAGAATATATCGAATTACAAGTCTCTTTGCTTAAATGAAGAGTTATGGTGCAGCAATAGCTAAAAAAAAAAGACAGAGGGAACTACATAGACCATGATCCTTTGCTCCATTTCAGTGCAGACTACAAGAAGAAATAACAGTTCTAAGCACTTTTAAGTCTTAGTTCTTTAGATTAAGTCTTGTAAAGGCATTTTAAGAGGAAAAAGTAGCATATTAACAGTTTTGTTTGTAAATCTCCACAAAATATCACAATAAATATTGTACCGAGAGATTTAGATATTGTTACATCCCTAATTGTGAGCCTTCCCACCATATTGTCATCTTTCCCACGATATTGCAATAAATATCATACTGTGAGGTTCATACCATGACAATATCGTATCGTGAGACTTGGATATCATTTCATCCCTAAAGCTAACCCACTATATACTAGCTGTCGCATTTCAAATAGAAAGTGACCATGTTAGCACTTCCAGTGCCAATAAATAATAAAATATTGAGGAAAATGTTGCCCCTCTCTATAAATGCTGCTGTCAGGGTCATAATTTAGTCTTAAAACGTTCGTATTAATCCACTCAACATGATCTTGGTGTTTTTATTTCGCTATTTTGTCTGTAAATATATTCCTAAAAATATATCTGCTCCAAGTTTGCTCCTATAAGTGCTAGCCTCGTGAGCTTCATTTGACTGCCCATAACCGAACGCTATGACATCACACTCCCTCAATCCACTTCTTTATACAGTCTATGCTCCAGACCACATGCTTTTACTGGCAGAAGATCAGCTGTAGAGTACCCCATTAAAAATGTGATTGATGAAATGGATTAATTGCACAGCCCTGTTTTAGGTTGTAACAGAGTGAAATGGACTCGTACAGGAACAGCCAAATACAGGACAGCAATCAGAGGCAGACTGAAATAACAGAGTAGTTTTGTGTGTATGTCACTGTGACATTTTGGGGAAGCCATTGAAACTGAAGATTTTATTCAACCACAGCTCCACAGCAACAGACCATAACTGAGCCTCTGTGAATGCAGGACAGTTTAGACTCGGTCTGTCATGATACATACTGAATCAACTTATGGTTCAACACATGACAGATGGAACAATACTTTTCTTTTGGGGGTTCAGTATTTATCATGGGTACTTTTTCCTTGCACTACAGGGAATTTTTTGTTTAATTTTTTTGTACCACAATGAGATTTGAACTGTAAAAGGTTGAATTACTTATTAAAGACTCATGACTGATACTTTGGGGGCTGGGGGTGTTATTATATAAACACAGACAAAAAAGGTTGCCTGAAAACTCAAGAAAAAGTACAAAATGGATTTAGACAACACATTTTCAGGAGCCTGTGATCAACACAACCATTCATGGTCCTGTTAAGAGGATTTATATATTGTATTTATACACTATTCAATGAAATGTATCTATCTATGCCTGTGTGTATGTATGTATGTATTTATTTATTTATTTATTTAGAGAGCTGCAAGATTAATCGCAATCAAACTGAATTAGCAGTTTCAATGGTCGTAATTTGCAATTTGTAAACAATGTAAATATTTAATTAATTTATAACGTATTTTGTCTTATTATCCAAAAGAAAAATACTCTAACTCTGTTGCATAAATGTCTATAAGCATGTACTTAAATGATTAGATCATATTTCAGTTTTCACTTAAATGTTGATGCTTCTGGACAAATTTAAAATGTGCATGTTCAAAATCATTTGTCAGAAAAATCACGACTGAATATTTTGCCAAAATCGTTCAGTATTGTTAATAATGACTAACTGATGTCACTAAAGCAGGTTAAATAAATATTAGGAGGGCAGCCTTTGCATCCTTGCACTTGTAGACTCAGCATTTTAGATGCTGTAAAGTTCCCAAAAGTTTATAATATAGCATTAAAGATGCACTGTGTAACTTTCGCCACCTGCTTGTATCTAGTGATGTTACTGTACGCCATTAAACGTATCTGTCTTGCATTCATTCACTTAGTTGTTTTTATTGTTCAAAAATACCTTGAAATACATACATTCTTACTGGGAATGGGGGCACCTCTCTATAGATCTGGCCTGTAGCTTTGTGGCAACGCATGTTTGTTTTTATGGAAATGGCCAAATCTAATTATATTGTAGCACATTCCAGGCAAAGCAATAACATCTCCATGGAATCAAGTAATGAAAAGTTACACAGTGCATCTTTACAGTATCATCTTCTTCCCGTTAGTACTTGGATGTTGTTCTTTGTTGTTGCTGTTTGAATCGTCTAAAACCTCACACTGAAGAGGCTGACGTCCCAATGACTGTGCACTCTATAGAGCCATATCATTATTGTCTCTCCCAGACATGAGTCACTATTGGACTCTGTTGACTTCTTCTGGGAGCTGTTGTCACTTCAAACAAGAGTAAAGCCTGCCAACAGAATCAGCGTGTTTAGTGAAAATACACAGTGTACGCTGTGACCTGGGCTGCCTCTGTGCTCTGTGCTCTGCCTTACTGTTAGTACCAAAAGATGTGAGCTGCAGAGGGTCAAAAAGTAACTTTTGTTTTTATTGCTGCTTACGGTATATATATATATATATATATATATATATATATATATATATATTTTTTTTTTTTACTATATTATGCATTCATAAAAGGATTTGTAACGTTTCTGGTCGATGGTTCTCCACCTCCTTTTCTTCATGGGGATGTTATTGCTTTGTCTGGAATGTTTTACAGTATGGCATTAAACCTGTCTATCATCTTGGAGACCAAATTGGGGCAAGTGACAGGTCAGATCTGTGGAGAGGCAACCCTACTCACAGTCAGAATGCTGTTTTTTTTTTAGTTTTTTTTTTTAGGTATTTTTGAGCTATAAAACCACCTGTAATTGAATAAATGTAAGGTAGATCTGTTTGTCATACTGTGGAACATTCCAGGCAAAGCATTGACATTTCCACAGAAACAAGAGAGTGACGGACTACCAAAAAGTTACACTGTGCACCTTTAAGATCATTTTGTCAGTGGTTCATTGGTAGTTTGAATATTATCGTTTATTGTGATGTTTTTATGCAGCAATATATCATTTAAAATATGTTACCGTGACAGTTTTTAAACTGGTTTTAGTTTGTTTATTGTTGTAAGATTTTATCTTTTTTTTTGTGAGCACTGATAGAGCATTGTTTATTTATTTTAAATGTTTTTTTTCTGTGCAGCAGTTTGGTTACAGTTTATAAAATATGCTATATAAATAAATGTATTGTATTGTATGTAATAGAGTTGTATTGTGCTGTGCAGGTTTGGTGTGCAGTGTGGGATGCTGACAAACCAGTGGTGCGAGGCTGAAGGAGCATGGTGAAACACCAACCCTTGCAGGTCTATGAGAAGCAGATCTTCTTGTCCATAATCACTGGCATCTATGGTTGCCGCTGGAAACGCTACCAGCGTTCCCAAGACAACACCTCCAAGGTAAGACTTTCCACCGGCTCATCTCCTACAGCTCTCTGGATTATGTCATCACACATCAAATAATTTTCAGTAAATATTGAACTAACAGAGAGTTTAAGATGCAAAGTCCTGACTTGGAGTTTTATTCTGCAGTTTGAGTAATGACCAGCAGATCAGGTTGTTTCATGGCTCTGCTCTTTGGTTTACTTTTTATATTGCTTTTTCTAATAAATGTCTATAGACATATGGCACATCTGCCAGAGACATGAAGTTTTCCATCCCAAGCACTATTATTGGTTAATTTCTGATATTTAACTTTGTGCAATTTAAATATGTTTTATTTTGGATTTTGGCTTTTTTTTTTTCTTTTTGAGAAGTGCTGTTCAGGAAAGTCTTGCTATTAAGGTTGTCATTATTTATATATAAAAGGTGTCAAGATATTAGTTGACCTTTATTGTAGTAATGTTTGTATTGTATTTTTGCAGTCAGTCTGTGGATGAAAAGCCAACCCTATTGCTATGGTTATATACAGTTTCTTATTATACAAACAGATTTAAGGTTTTCACAGGTTTATTACTATGAGATGTACACACTTGACATTTCCAAAAATCTAAGAAGAGTGGCATGGGCACATATTACACTATTATCTGATCAGTATTAATGTTGTTTCCTCATTAAAAACATGCCTGGAGTTTGTTTCATTCACTCATGTTTAACATTGAAATCCTGCATATTTAGGCTAGGTTCTTCTCTCAGACTGAAAACACTCTGTTCCACCTTGTGATGTTATATAGTACAATAGGAACTGCTTCACTGTGTAAACTCCTTACACCTTCACTAGAATCATTTGGATGATTTTACCCCTGGAATTAGCAATCTCTGAGAAACAAAAGGTAAAAGGCAGCTTTTAACTGAAACATGCCACTACATGACATCATTTGGTGAAACAGAGCATTTTGAGCTTTGGAGATGTAGACAGACTAGTAGTTACTCAAACGTGTGAATGAAACAACACAACTCCAGGTATGTTTTTGAGGAGGTAACAACAACATGAGCTTTAAGCTATGTTGTTGTTACCTCAAGAGTCAATTTTGTGTAATATTGGACCTTTAATTAATAAAAATGCACATGATTGGTGTGATCCAGAGTATTTTTGTAGATGACAGTGTATTTCCAAAACAAACCGAGTCATCAGATTTCCAAAAGCCTGGATTCCTGGGAGTGTTTTGGAGCTACCCTGGCTACTGTGCGAAAGAGCCAGACACCCAGCTGTGGTCGTGAACAGGCAGCCCGCACACTACTGTTGCTGTTAATATTACTACGTGTATGCGGTTGTATCTACAAGAAACTATGTCTGTGTACCTGGGCCTGTCACAATAACACATTTTGAAGTGTGACATATTGCTGTCGAGAATGTATATTATAAATGATATTATTGAAACTAATTTATGCCACTGACAATAATACTAAAGCAGAATTATCCCAAACAATAATATTTTACTTGTATAATATCAGAAAAAACATGAGCTGCAATAAATAAATAAATACCAGAGGAAATACTTTAGGAGTTAGTCATAGAAGTTGCTTATTCAAATCTCTACAAGTCAAATCTTAATACAGAAAAATAGCACAAAGTAACCCACTAGTGCAAAGAAAATGTACTCATGATGAATACTGATCCCCAAAATGATTGTTCCATCTATCATGTATAAAACAATAAGTCGACATACTGTAGAAATTATGGTAATAGGTCTGATGGAGAGGAGAGCAGATAATGCACCTGCTTCCTGAGTTAATGAGTGCTCTGGTCAAAAACACTTGGACTCATCATTGACTGAGCTGCTCAACTTGGTCTCCTGCTGAGGTAGAGCTCTCAGGTGTTTTGGACAACATTTTCACAAGCCTCGAATGAAGGACAATACTGAGCTGTACTGAGCTGTAGGCCTGTCACCATAGTTACTATATCGACTTATTCGTTCAATATATAAAAGCTGAGACATATATGTATATATATTTATTATCTTTATTTACTTCAGCAATATATTATACACCAAACATTTTTATCGTGACAGGTAGGGGTCTGCAAAAATTATCAATATATCGTATCATTTAATGTGCTGATACAGTATCAACATCATGAGCTGCTGTATCGATATATCAGCAAGAGTATTTTTGGTATATTTTACTCAGTTATTTTGTTACAGCAATACAGTTTTGTTGCTTGTTTAGAGGAAGAAAACTTGTTTATGCAACATATTTGACATTTTCACTGTTTTGTGTTTCATATGGACTTTGCACAAGAAGTGGTTTAACAAAGACTTTTAGTATCACAGCCATGATTTAGCCATTATTTTTATTGAACCGTAACAAATCGATCTGAAATATACTGTATCAAATCGAAAGCTTATTGTATCGAGATATGTATTGTATCGTGGCCAATGTATCGAGATATGTATCGTATTGGCAACTTCTTAAAGATACCTAGTCTTAGTGATAGGCCTAGAGAAAGGTAAAGTGATATTTCTGTATTTTTGTGATCCATTCACATTTATGCAACACATGAGCATTTTGGCAAAATCCTGAAGCATTAAAATAGTGTCTGAATATTGTTATCTAGATCAGTGCTTCTCAAAGTTTTCCCCTAAGTACCACCAGATCTAAACCAAGTCTAAACAAGGACTATTCTAGGTCTAAAAAGAACAACACATGGTATAAACAGTCATTCTAAAGAAGGTCTAAACCAAAGGAGGACAGAAATGTAGACTAAATAGACAATTTGAGAACCACTGATCTGCAAAAACAAACCAGGCCGGCACAGTTGCATATAACACAAAAATAATCTTGTTAGCGTGTTTATTTAGCATTCACACTTGACTCAGTTCACTGCAGGTGATGAAACCTACAACGTGACTCTGGCTCAGCGTCTCAGTGTTTGACCTGAGTTTAGCGGCTAAACCAATTAAAACAGACCTGTCATTACCGTCATTACTCACTCAACTGACAGCTCGTGCAAAGGGCGCAACCTACTCACTTCGTCTACTTCCTCTGCTAATATTAACAAGAGCCAAAATGTGTCTAAATTGCACAATAGTTGTGATTAGACTAAAACAAATAAATATGTTTAGTTTGTTCAAAAGTTTAATCTGCCAGAAAATGCCTTCCTTTTGTGCAGTGATGGAAAACAAGGAAGTAGGCTACAAATTGATTACAAATTTTAGGTATCTGTACTTTTACTTAAGTAGATAGATTGTTTGAGACCTACTACCTTTCTGCTGAGCAAAATCCAGCACAAATCTTTATTAATATCACTACATTTGAAGCTTTAATAAATCTCAAAACCCACATAAAATACTTTTACTTTTTACTCTTTATGTGCATTTTTAAACAAGTCCTTTAATACTTTTATTTAAGTACATTTTTTGTGACACTTTTACTTGTCCTTGAGTATTTTTGCTGTGGTGTCTGCACTTTTACTTACTTGTAAATTGTACCCGCATTTTAATAGCATTTTCAGTATTGACAACATAGATTTTAAAACCCATTGCTACTTCCTGTACTTTGTTTTGTTCTTTTCCCCTCCGTTTTGCGCAACTAATTACCACTTAACTGAAGTAAATCTACGTTAAATACTTCCCAAAGGTACTATGCCCCAGAAGCCAACTAATAATTAGAAAAACATGAAAACCTGTCATAGGCACTTTAAGCTCCAGGAAGTGCAGTGGCAGTGTGTTGTAAAGCTGGTAAAGCTCCACAGGATCCAGTGAGTGAGTGATCATATTGGACATATTCTCTCTCCCATAATCCTGTTAACTACTGAAGGGAAGAGTCCTTGAGGGCCATGTCCTCACAGGAGCTGCAGGAGCACACTTCTTAGTGGAAACCATGTGGGACCAGAAGCAATGATGGAAGAAGTACTTGATTGTACGGATACCAGAGCAAAAAAATACTCAAGTAGAAGTATCACATACAAAAATCTAATTAAAGTAAATGTATTAAAGTACCTGTTTAAAAGTGATAGAGTAAAAAGTAAAAATATTTGAAGCAGATTTTGAGACCTAACAAAGCTTCAAATGTATTGATTTTGATAAAGATTTGTGCTGCATTTTGTTCCACAGAAACAACTTTTTATATGTTCAAAACGATGACCATGTTAAAAATAAATCCTCAGCCTTTTGAGCAGGTCTCAAACTATCATAAAAATACTTTCAGTAATTTTGTATATAATCAAGTCAGTATTAATCGTTTGATTAACGGTTTGTAATATCTGATATTTTGTACATAATGCTGAGCCTCATGTTAAAATCACATTTGTATTTTTTCTGCAGTGGGAGTGTTTATGGTTCACCATCCTGTGTTGCTCCTTCTTCCTCCTCCTCTTTTGGACATACTTCTGGTTTGTGGCACAAAATGACTTCAACGACTTCAATTGGTAAGTTTTTATTTCCACGTCATAATTTCACCTGAAACGCCCGTCTCAGACTGCACGCTGAGTGACTGTGACTGCTGTCTTTAACAGTATTCAAGCAGAGTGCAACATGAAGAGTGGAGCAATGCTTTGCTGCTGTGGTCACAGGCTTTAAAAGCACTTTAAAGACCACATGCTCATGTAATAACAATAATCATTTAGATGGGAAAAAGTTTGTGGAAGGCAGCAGTGTATGGTGAAAATACTGTAGACTTTGTACAGTTTGTGCTCCTACATAATGAATCTAGAGCACCACTGCTTTATTACAACAAAAATCTGCAATTAAACAATATTCACTTTACCTGCCCCCATCTGTATGAAATAATATTGGCTTATGTAATGTTTTGATGTCATCTGAAACCCAGTAATTAATGGTTTAGAGATCTTGTAGCATGTGCACTACAGTAGCTCTGTGGCCAGTCTGAGCTATAAGCGGTTAAATATGTTCAAAAATATTCTGTAACTTTTATTATTTGCTTGATTTGTTCCAGGTCAGTGTATAACCGCACTGGTGAATGGACAGATGAGACCATTCCCATCGCGGCCTCTACCTCTGTGGGCATCAGCTACATTACATTCTTAGTGGTAAATAAACTGAGATCTGTCCTGTTTTTTGCATATACATATAATACTGATTTATTTAGCTGTTTTTCCTTTTTCAGATTTTAGCACTCTTCCACATTTCCCTCGGTCAGCAACTCAATCTTTATTGGGTGCACAAGGTAATTTAGTTTTTTATCAAAATAATAAAGATAACTTTTTCTGAAGGTTGCAATACCATTCACTGCTTTGCCTGCAATGTTTCACGGTAGTGTCGTTCTAACATTTATTTCATTACAGGTGTTTTTATTTTTAAAAAAAAAGAAAAAAAGAAAGAAAAACAGGCACTCTTACTCTGTGAGCAGGGTCCTCTCTCCGTAGATCTAGATCTTGGCCTGGTGTTGTCACCTCTTTGCTTTATTGATTCTCAAGAGAAATTATGAGATTACTGCAGCTCCAATGAATATCAAAATACAATAAAAACTATAAAACACAGTATCAATCATCCATATAAAAGCTATAATACATTGGACCCAAGGTTGAAAATGTATAAAATGTAAACGTTTTGAATTGAATGTGCAAAATCGCTCCTCAGACTGTCTAGTGTGAGATTAAGGCTACGTTTATATGATGAAACAAGAAGACACAAAAGTGGCATCGAGCCTTCACTTTTTATTCCACATTTAGACAAGCGTTTTGAGAAGGAAATCTGCGTGCATACGGTGATGCAAAAGTGTGTGGAATTCGATTGGGTATGCATGTCAGGCGGCTAGATGGTGACGCTAGGTGGTGATGTATGTGACGTAAACGTGTACGCGAGTTTTGCGCCTTGGGCAGTGTAGACGGAAACGCTGCAGCAGAGCGTATTCAACTTTTTCACTCTGGAGGGTGGTTTCAGATTTTTGCGTTTTTAAGCCCCAAAAACGCCGTCAGCATCTAAATGAAAGGCAATAAAATAAAATATTTTGTTGTTTTTACCTGCAAGCGTTCTTATGTAAACAGTCCTTAATGCCAAAAAATATCTCTATGAACTAACTGATTGATTGATTCCTTCTTTCGCTAAACGATCTTCATTGTAACCTTTTCTGTCTTTCCCTTTGCAGATTGGTGTGTTAGCGACATTAGCCACCACTATCTCTGGAGTGGTGTCTGTGGATGACATTTGGGGAGATGAGTGGGAGATCCTGTTTATTTCATTGCAGGTCAGTTTACAAAAAGGTAGCATTATCAGTTATATTTTTGTTACTTGTCACTAAATTTTGTGCTACTCGAAACTAGGATTAATAGAGTATAGTCTTTAATGGCATCTGCAGTAAAATCTACAAATAGTTCCAAGATTGACATTTTTTTGTTGTTTTTCAGGCCACTGCACCTTTTCTACACATTGGCGCCTTGGCAACAGTCACCGCAGTGGGCTGGTTGGTCGCTGGATACGTGGTCCGTAGACAGAGATCCAGTATGTTGTTTGTTAGCATTTTCACATTTCACTGGTTAGGCCTGGGCAGTTAATCCAGTTTTTATTGATATTGATTCAGTCATCTCCAGATGTCAATGTAATGCGTAGTGTTTTTGTTTTTTTATTGAGAAGTCTACAGTGAATCCTCTGTCAGTAAAAGTATGTGTTCTGATGTGGAGATCAGTCTTTGGAAGAAGAAATTTGACTATGTTTTGTGTAAAGGCGCTGATTTTACTCTCTCACAAAAATGTGAAAAGCAGAACTAGTATTTTAAACCGTTTGCAGTGGTCCAACGTTATCACTGTTATGCATTCCAAGGATCCTAATTTTACACCATGATTAATTTATAATCGCTTAAAAAAATATAATAATAATAAAAAATTGCGATGGATCAATATGAGAAAAAAAATATATCATTAATTTATAGTTATATGGCCCAGCTCTATCTTCCTGATCTTAAATGAGATCTTTTTTGATTTTGACACTCACCTGTTTCACTTCATCAGATTTCCAGATGATGGTTCTGGTGGTGTACTTTGCCATCCTGGTTGCCCTGTATCTGGCCCCGCTCTTGTTTACCTGCCCCTGTGTCATGGACCGCCACAACCTCAGAGAACGGCCTGAAATCATCGGACGAAGAGGAGCTCCTATGGTCAGTTGGTCAAAAAACAGTAAAGCCCCACCCACACACGCAGCATAACCTGGGAATTTACCACCATTAGCCATAATGGTTTTCCCTGCATTTTTTTTACTTGCCAAGACCATAGACTGCATATATAATGGACATAGCTCACCCTTCTCCAAATAGGAAGTGATCATGAATGCCCTTCCAGTGACTTTAAACTGAAATATTGTTACCCCTCTCTCTGTAACTGCGGCAGTGAACCTCATCATTTTGGTTTTAAAATGTTCTTATTAACCCGCTCAACATGTTCCTTGTGGTATTATTTCTCTATTGCTATTGTAAATAAATTCCTATTCCTAATATGGAACTCTGCTATGCTCCAGATTCTCCAAATAACTGCAAGTCTCGGTGAGCTTCTTTTGACTAGAGCTGAACACTTTGGAAAACTTCATACTCCCTTAGTCCACTTCTTTATATAGTCTTTGTTCGAGACCATAGACTGTATAAAAGAAGTGGACTAAGCGAGTGTGACGTCACCCATAACGTTCAGCTCCACTCAAATGAGGCTCATGATGCCAACGGTTACAGGAGCAAATTTGGAGCCAGGCTCTAGGTTATGAATAGGATTTTTTTGACAGACAAAGTAGTGAAAAAAAAATAAAAATCAGGATCATGTAGAACACTTTAAGACCAAAATGACAAGGTTCACAGCAGCAGTTACAGAGAGAGGGGTGACAAGATCTCAATGTAAGTCAATTGGAGACAGGGTCAGAAGGAGCCGGAAGAGCCTTCTGGCGCACTTCCTATTTGACACACGGTGGCTAGCGCGTTAGTTATGTCTACTCATATATACAGTCTGTGGTTGAGTAAAAATACTGGACATTTGCAGGGAAGGTTTATGTGTGAATAAAGCTAGAATATTTTCCTGGACTGTGGTTTGATTTCCTCAAACTTGATTCAGCATAGCCAAGGAAACCAATCAAATAATTTACTGAATATTTGTAGGACGATCTATATTAGAACTATTATGAAACCAGAGAATAAGAAACTGCTATTGTTTTTGTTGAAAATTACATAGTATTCTCTAAAAGAAAGAATATCATCATTATGGTAATCAAAATGGAGTGTCAAACCTTTTCGTCATATCAAAAAGTTATTAAGATTTTTAAAAGTTATGTGACGCTATAGTCAGAGGCAGAAAGTTACTAAGTCCAAATACATGTAATTAAAATAGATTTGTCATTGTGTAATTTATTTAAGGTATTGGTAATTGTTTTTTGGAGATTCTTAAACATGTGCTTGAACTATACTGACAAACACCTAACAGCACTGCATCCCCTGCTATGACTGGTCAGAGCTCATATGATATGACAGATTGTGGCTTCAAACAACTTAATTTTGTTTAATCAATCAAATTTTGTATTGCATTTGTACTGAGTACTCTTTCCACCTTTGACTACACTCATTATTTATTACATCTTGTGATTCAAAGGTTACACACTTTAATACTAATTGCCCAATGTCCTTGTGTTTGTGCTATAGCTGGCTCCAGAGAATACCATGCTGTCCTTCAATCGAGCGCTCCAGCAGGGGGCGACCTCCCTGGAGGCTGACGTCACCATCAGGTCAGAGTGCAGCGTCTGACATTTTCACAACACTGCATTGATATAGGCTTTTTATACAAGGCCCATAAAATGTGTATAACTACAGGCTGGGTTAGGTTAGTTCTAGTAGATGGATACCTAGAGCTCACATCTAAACAAAATGATGTTCAGTATAAACAGCCTCTCTGATAAACATAAGAAAACATCCAGACAATCTGTGTTTGCATGCACACCAGAAATGTGACCTTTATCTGATTGCCAGAGTGCTGAGTCAGATTGTTGAATGTCAGTAATCTGAGTAATCGGATTTCTTTCTGATTGGTCACACCTGTGCAGGTTTTGACTATGAGAATTATGCAAAAAGCACAAAGCCAAAAATAAAAGTGAAAACATTGAAGGACCTATGTTACGCAAAATTGATTCTTGTGAGCTTCAAGATATGTTATAATGCTGTTACCTCATCAAAAACATACCTTGAGTTGTGTTTTGTTTCATTCACACATATTTGAGTAACCCTTTATTATTTTTGAGGATCTCTAAAGCTCAAAATGCTCTGTTGCGCCTTGTGATGTGTGGTAGTTTAAAAACACAGTGGAGCACTTCCTGTATTGTCACGACATCGCAAGGTGGAACAGTTTTCAGTTTGAGAGAAGAACTCAGCTTAAATATGCAGGGTTTGTGTGTTAAACATGTGTGAATGAAACAAAACACAACTCCAGGTCTGTTTTGGATGAGGAAACAACATTAAAAAGTAGAAGTAGTAAAGCGGAACATGGCAGCTTTAAAGAATGTTTTAAATTCATTGTACTCTGTTTTCCAAATACAATAGCTGACACATCTCCCCAGCTGTTTTAGATGATCAGATTTCCCTTGTACATGTAAACACACACCAGAAATCAGATATAATTATTGGGTTATTTGATCGTGCTCTTAATTTTATGGCCATGTATATCAAACTTTTGTGATTATTTTTACAGTGTGGATGGCGTTCCCTTTCTTATGCGAGATCGCACTTTGAGGCGAACCACAGATGTGAGAAAAGTCTTTCCTTCCAGAGAATATGAAGATGCTTCGTTCTTTAACTGGACAGAGATACGCACTCTCAATGCTGGCCAGTGGTTCCTAGAGGTGATACTATTTCATTTGTTTCCTTATTACTCATCCTCACCATAGGAGCTTTAAGTAATGCATACAACAGTAGACTGCTTCTTTTTCATAACCAAATTAAAGCTTCTTGATTATGGCAAAAATTATACTAACAATTATTTGGCTTACTGTTCAAATAAGGGATGCACAAACCCTATACTGATATCAGATATCGACATTGATAGTGAAATATTTGCTGGATCTGATAGTACAAATATCAGTTTAGTTGATATCCTGGTTGGACATATAAACTGTAACTGTAAATGTAGTATTTACTGGTCGTAGTTAGCAGAGAAAGTCTCATAATTTTTGAATTTTTATTTACACAAGGTTGTTTGTAGTTACATAAGAGATACACAACAGCTACATTTGGATTTGAATCAGTTTTGTCATTATTTATTGTAGTTTAAAGGAAATAAATGCTGTTTTCAGTCCCAATTGGGTATTGGCAGATATTCAAAGCTGTAGTATTGAAATCTGTATCGAAACTGAAAAAGCTGGATCAGTGCATCCCCAGTTATTTGAAGCGATTCCTGTCTAAATTTAGAGAAAGTTTAGATCTAGTATATTTAATTATCTTAAAGTTTATGGAGAATTCTGGAGAAGTGGCTTTGCTCCAAGTTTTAAGTGGCAGAATGAGTCACACATCATTCTGAACAGACGGTAATTAAATATACTGTATTAGATTAAAGATATACATTATAGATTACAACATTTTTGTAATCACCATTATGAATTTGACTGATTGCACAGCCCTTTAAGTTAAATAAATCTGTAACTTCATGAGTCAGGCTTTGTTTTCCCTGCTCTAGAATGACCCCTTCTGGACAGCTGCCTCCCTCACATCCAAGGACAGAGTGAGAATAGAGAACCAGACGGTGTGCACCCTAGTGGACATGTTGAGACTTGCAGCACGAGCAAATGCCTCTGCTCTGTTGAATATCCGTAAGCCCCCTGCCCAGCACCCCCGCGCCCGGAGCTGGTTCATGGACACTCTGTGGGCCGTGCAGAAGGCAGCCATCCCCACCAAGAGGGTGAGGACTGTATGTCATTGTTCTTCTAATACTACATCATGCCCATGCTTATTAGTGTACCTTAGTAGTTACCATATAATGTCCATACTTATTACTTTAAAGTGTACCTTAACTTTAACTTTAACTTTCCAGCTTTTCCATACAATATAGTTTCCTTAATCATTTTTATTTGCTATTTTTTATAGTTTGCATAATCATCCATTCCCCTAAAATTGTGCTTAAAGTAAAGTTGAATAGGCCTTTTAGTATGTAATAAATTAATATTATATTTATGTGCAATACTACTGGTTAATTTAAAGGTGTCTTATCCAACTTTTCTGGCTGTGGGGTCTGCAAAATTATCCATGGTTTTGCTAGAATGTTCAACAGTATGGCATTAAACTAAGCTGTCTTTCGTGTATTCAATTGCAGGTGTTTTTTATCTCTCTAAAATATCCTAAAAAATAAACATACATTCTTACTGTGAATAGACTCACCTCTCTACACATTTGACCTGCAACTTGACCTTGTGGAATCACCTGCTTGTCTGAATGAAATGGCATAATGCCATACTGAGTAACATTCCAAACAAGCAATAACAACTCCATTAAGGCAAGGATTTGGCAAACCCTTCTACAGAAATATTACATAGTGCACGTTTAATGTACAAATAGAAACACACAGAATGACCCGCTGAATATACAATTACCCTACTATAACTATATGAATTGCACTTTTACCTTTTCTTATAAAGCAGATATAAAAGCCTGTCTCATGTGATGTGTCCCCTGTGTTTGGGGCAGGTGACTTGGAGCCCGGACAGCGACAGGGGGAGGGTGCGGGGCTTTCAGCAGACCGCCCAAGAGAAGCTGTCACTGCAAGAAATGAGGCAGAGGGGAATTACAAGCCTGACCCTCCACTACAGCAAGGCCAACCACAAAGACATACAGTAAGACAAATGACCCCTGACAGACAACACTCAAAGTTACAGTGACAATAAAGCTATGTAAACTTTTCTACACTCTGCTTAAGATTCCTTGTGCGTGCGTTCCTGATTTATGATTGCTGAAAATGAGCGTATTTACTGTGCCTGTAAAAATGCCTATTTTGATCTAGAGTTATGGGACAGAAAAGAAAAAGGTGCCAAGAGCTGAAAGGGAAGCCATATTTTGCTGGCGATGACTAGTGTCTTTCCTTTGCCCCCAGGGAGTATCTGGCCAACAATGTGAGCGTGACCGTGTACCCGGTGAATGAGGCCTGGCTCTACTCCACGCTGTGGTGTAGTGGGGTGCCTTCTGTGTCCTCTGATGCCCCCCAAGTTCTGCGAAAGGTGCCTTACCCCATCTGGCTCATGGTAAATACACTCCTCTCTCATCTGCTTCTAACACACACACACAGACACAGACACGCAAGTTGGGTTTCTATGCTTTTTGGGGAAATTTCGTCTACTTTCATTCATTTCCTGGACATGGATCCTAACCTTAACCATTGACACTATTTGCCTAACCTAAATCCTGACCTATTTTAACCTATATCTGAACATTAAAGAATATCATTTGATCTAATAAGGATTTATGTCATGGGGAATTGATTTTTTGTCACAACAAAGGCAACACATCCCAGTAATATGAGTAGGGCTGGGTATCATTAAGAAGCTGCTGATATAATACATACCTGGATACAAAGGCCACGATACGATACAGATCTTGATACAGTGCACTTTCGATTCAATACGATATATTTCAAATCTATTCAGTATGGTTCAATAAAAAATAAAGGCTAAATCATGGCTGTGATACTAAAAGTCTTGCATAAAATAGTTTCCTTCCTCTAAACAAGCAACAAAACTGTAGCGCTGTAACAAAATAATTCAGTTAACCAAAGTAATTAGTACACCAAAAATACTCTTGCCAATATTGATACAGCAGCCCACAATATCAATTACTGTATCATTACATTAAACAGTACGATATATCGATATTTTTATATTTTTGCACACCCCTAAATATATGTCTATACAGAGGATAATTACCTGTCCGCACACATACACAGTCACAATTAACCTTAACTGTAACCTAAACCCTAAACTATTCTAACTGTATCTGAACTTGAAACCATGTTGTTCATCTAATAATGTGATATCATACTAATAGATGGGGAGGGGGGGTAATTTTACATTTTTTAGATTTCCCTATTGATCTGGAACCTGATAATTTCTTTTATTTGACTAGATCCAAAAACTCAACTTGGAGTCAAATTTTTTGGAGGGTGATCCTAACCTTCACCATAATCACGACCTGCTACTTGTGTATACATATTTCAGTCCACACAATGCGATAAAAACCCATCTCCACACACTCACACACACACAAGGTCACGCAGCGAGACAGGGGGACAGCAGGAGAGAGGACAGAGACTGACGAGGGGCCCACGCTAGACTGCAGGGCAAGGACACTAGAGGAATGGGGCGGGAGCTTGTGGGCAGCCTTCAGCTCAGCGTGGTACAAGGGAATAACAACACGGTGCGATGGAGGCAGAGACGGCCTGCACGCCTTTAGACAAGGGCACAAAGAGACCAAAAAGCAGCTGTCGAGCAGATTTTTGCATTAGTCAGTGCCTGGAGACATGCTCAGTGCTGACGGTGACCCCCAGTGGCGCAGGGTGGAATTGACTCTTCTATCTCTCATGTCCTACAGAGCCAGACTGCTTACTACTTCATCTGGATCGCCTCAGATCTGTTGTCACTCGCAGTCGTCCTTGTGATTTTCTCCTTTCAGAAGTAAGTCCAAGGATATGAGCAAAGTCAAAGATGTATAATGCGCACATACATTTAGTCTCAACCCTCTGTGCCAACTGTTGAAAAAAACTAAACAACTGGTGTACTATTATAGGCCTGTCATGATTACAAATTGTTAAGTGATATATTGCAATAGAAAATATCATAATAAACAATTATATTGAAACTACCACACAATAGGCAACAGAGCAAGTAGTAAAAGCAATAAATAGCTGAATAAAACACTTCAGTAGATAGTTGTAGTATCTAAGATTCAAATCTACAATCTACAAATCACATGTTATCGTTTTAGGCCTAATATTAATAATCCATGCTTGCACTTTATATGCTAAGCCTCAAAGCACTGCACTGTTCTCATTTGTTCACTCCACACTTGGTGGAAGTATAGGCTCCTGTTGTGGCCACAGCTTCTCTGGGGTACAGTGACAGACCCAAGGCTGCCAATCTATGCCATAAACCCCTCAAACCAGTGCAGTCAGGCACACACCACATTCATACTAGGCAAGGTGGGTGAAATGTCTTGTCTAAGCGCACAACGACAGAACTTGGTCACAGCGGGAACGGAACCTTGGACCTTTGGGTCACCGTCGGCCCCTAATATTAGGCCTACATAAACAAATTCCCCTCTAGTCTAAAGAAAAGGTACTAAACATTGCACTAAAAATTAAGCCTGAAAATGTATTGATATAATAATGACTGTGACAGGCCTATACAATTATATGTGTATTGTCGTACAAATATTTCAGTTGATTTTTGTTTCCACTTTGTTTGTCCTTTCAGTCAGCTTCACCTTCAGCTCTAATTATAGCTCTTCTTCTGTTCTTTTGCCGCTCTTGTGGATGTTTTTGTTTTGCGTCTCTTCTTCTCTGTGCCTAATCTGCATGTAACCTTGCTGCACTGCCCCCTGGCATCTGTCAGCTATCATATGATCAGGTAACTGCTCCAGCGCCTTGGCCTCTCCTCCTGCTCCTCTATCCTGCCCCCTGTGTCCCCTATGCCCCCTATGCCCCCTGTGCCCCTGTGCCCCTGTGCCCTCTGTGCCCTCTGTACCCTCTGTACCTGACGCTTCAAGGCCAAGCTCCCGATCTTTTAGCCCTCACTGTTTACTGTTCTGTTTAATTTCCTATAAAATATAAAAATATAACTACAAAAAGTATAATATTGCAGTAACTGAACACTGTTATTGTGATATATATATATATATATATATATATATATATATATATATATATATATATATATATATATATATATATATATATATATATATATATTTTATTTTTTTTTCCCTTTTTGGTCCATATTACCCATGTAGAAATGCAGATTCTCTTTACTGTGGTCTCATGTTGTATTTGCTGGTACACAGGTGGAAGATGAGTGGGATCCAGAACTGTAACCCTGAGCAGATCGTGCTAAATGCAGTCGGACGCCCACAAACCCGAGAGGTCAACATCATGAAAGAGAAACTCATATTTTCAGGTGTTTTGCCTTTCCTATTGATACAGCAATAGACATAAGACATACTTAATCAACTTAAACATACTTAATCAATACTTAAACATACTTAATCAATAGACATAAACCACGCTTAATCAATACTATACTTATGGGAATGAAAGTAGTGGAAGAGTCATCCATTTTATGTAAGGTAAGATACATGCAAAATGGGATGTCCCTGTTTGAATCATAGACTGTATAAAGAAGTGGCCTAAGGGAGTGTGAAGTCACAAATAGCTCCAGTCAAATGAAGCTCAAGAGGCCAGCAGATACAGGGGTGACTAGACCTTTTTCACTACAGCCGGAAATGCACCGCTGTAGGTTTGAGGGACTATGGCAAAATATCTGTGGAAATGTCACCAGCGTTATAAATCTGCCGACCCCATCACCAAATCTTCATCCAACAAGGTCGACAAAGGGGAATTTATCCACAACTAGCAAGGTAAGAAAGATGAAAATGTAAAGGCGAACAACGACTAGCATTAGTGAACCTCCAGAGAAAAAACTAATGTTATGGTCACGAATAAAATATAAGTAATACGTAAATCGTTAATAAGTAACTTGTGAACTCAGACAGTTTAAATGCTAGACACGTAATCTGTGAACATCTGTAGCATTTGAACTGCACAAATCTCTCTGTCTATGCTAATATCTACATCATGAAATAGATTTTTTTTTATTTTAATTGTAGAATCAGTCTGAGTTAAGTTGCTTATGTTTTATTCATGACCATAATGTTGCTCAGGGGTAGTTCACTAATGCATCGTCATTATTCACCTTTAAGTTTTCGTTTTTCTTACCTTGATAGTTGTGGATAAATTCTTCATGGACAGAAGATTTGGTGATGTGGCAGATTTATGACGCTGGTGGAAAATATGACATAGAAAAGAAAAGCATTAACCTAAGTGACGTTTACCTCGCCGCACTTCTGGCCATTATGAAAAAGGTCTATTTCGGGGGTCCGTCATCAGCTTGTTGCCATGGAGATCATTGCTTTGCCTTAAATGTTCCACTAAATGGCAATAAACATGTCTATGTCTGTAGAGAAAAGCAGGTAGCACCAACCGTTCACAGATTTATTTGAGCAACAAAAACACATGTATGAATGAAAATGATTTTTAATATAATTCTGTGGATTCTAGGCAAAGCAATATCCTTTCCATGGGTACAAACTGGTTGCGGACACCCACCAGAAAAGTTACATAGTGGACCTTTATCCAACAGATGAAAATTAAGTAAAAGTTTTGAATGCCTTATGTCTTTTGCAGAGCTCAGTAATGGACATGCCAGTGCGGAGGAGATTTCCCTTTATCCTGAAAATGGATATGCAAGCTACTCTCACGGAGGACTGTTGTAAGACATCACTGCGTGAAATTAAAACATACGGAGTGGAGTTATGGACACTGTCAAACCTAAAAATCTATGAAACTTTTTACTGTATTATTTTGAAATTACATAAAAATGCCATTGACCAGTTTAAATGTATTGTTTTAAATGTACCATCAGGATATAAGCAGTGTTTGACCACATTTCACTTTGGATGTTACCAAAATTCATGTTTTTAATTTTATCTGAACACTACTCCCTATTACTCACAATGAACTCAGCGTGAAGAAGTGCGGTGTTTTGTACATGAACATTTCTTTCTTTTTACCTGTGTTTTCCTTCAAGAGCTTTGAATCCAGCATTGTTAATATGCTTCTTGAACAACTGATTTATTTAAAGATAGTATTGTTCACATGGTTGCCTTTTTGCTAATCTTGTACTACTGTATATTGGGAGTCACATGTTATCTGTAGCTTCAGGTTTCTTAGTTTAAAAATAAGCTCTGTATAATTTTAGATAGAGACCGTAATTGAAAATAAATTGTTTCCCTTTTTGAATGCTTCACTGTGGTTATATTATTATATTCAAAATCATACATTAGAGAGGGGTCTCCAACATTTTTTCTCTGGTGTGCTACCTTTATAAAGCAAAAATGCCAAAGAGCTACTAGTTTTAGCAGTCACAAGAAATTTAGTCAATGTAAGGAAGAGGGCATGCATTAAATGGGGTACCGTTAGATGCGTATAAAACATAAACCATTATTTATTTATTAGTGTACAAAGTTAGGCATCAAAATGATATATTTCCAATAGTAACAGGCATTTAATTAATCAAATTGTAGTTATTAGCACAATATGTATAATTCAGATATCCTTTGGCGAGCTTCTTGGAAGGGGGTGGAGAACTACAGGTTGGAGACCCCTGTGTTAGAGCCTGCCCTTTTTGATGATAATGATAAAATATTTAAAGTTACAATTGGAATGTAAACATTTTAATGCCAAAATAATTTGTCACACTGCACAATATGGCTACTAGAACAACCACCCAAATATAAAAACAGCTTTATTTTTGTTAATAATGCCACATATCAAATAATGTGAAAAACAATATATAATTCATATCCATGAAATCAAATACTCCAATAATATTTTTTTTAGCAGTACAACAAAGTTTATTTTACTATTTCAACAGAGTGTGGCTACATTTGTTTGACTGTGTTCAGATGGAGAGTGGATTTCAGAAGCCTCGTCTGGACTGACCATTCCACAGCCCGAGTCTCTGGGGCAATTCTTCATGTTTTCATACACGGCCTCCTCCTCAGCTGTAGACAAGAGAACAGACACATATCATATCATCTATATATTGCCATTTACTGCTGAAATAAATATAGATGATAAACGATAAAACTGAAACCAAACCATAAAGCAGAATTATCCCCAAAAAACAATTCTAAATATGCAATATTGTTAAACATGACTGCAATAAATAAATAAATAGCAGAATTCCACACTTAAAGGTGTATTGTGTAACTTTTCTGGTGGAGGGTTCGTCAAATGCTTTTCTCCATGAAGAGGTTATTACTTTGTCTGGAATGTTTCACAGTTTGGTATTAAACCTTTATATCTTCACAGAGTCCAAACCAGACAAAGTTACAGGTCAGATCTGTGAAGAGGGAACTGTTCTCACAGTCAGAATACCTATTTTTGCAGTTTGAAGCCTAAATTACACAATCAAAACCAGCTGTGTATTCCTTTGATTTTAGTAAACTGTATGTTTTCTGAATAATATTCTGCATAGGAAATTAAATGGTTAGTGTTTTAATTAAACTATATTCAGGACATTTATTTAGTTACTTCCATAGATTGTATAAAGAACTGGACTAAGACATTACCCATATCATTTGGCTCCAGTCAAATGAAGCTCAGTGAGGCCGGAAAGTTATGGAACCGAATTTGGAGCCAGGTCCAAGAATAGGAATTTATTTACGTGATATACTGAAATAAAAACACCAGGATCATGTACAGTGAGTTAATACTAACATTTTAAGAACAAAATGAAGAGTCTCACTGCAGAAGTTACATAAAGTCAAACAAAGCCTGAGTCGATGGAGCCAGAAGCGCCCCTGTGCACACTTCATATTTAGATCGCGTCAGATAGTGGGTTAGCTATGTCCATTTATACAGTCTATGGTTACTTCTCAACTCCACATATACATAATCCTTCTTTGTCACTACCCCTTGGCCCTGCCCCTACTGCCCCCCATGACATCAGCCTCTATTTACAGACACACTCTCTTTGGGGTTATCCTGTTGACCACTCGGTTTGATTAGTGGGAAACTAAACACCACTGTAGTCTTATCTGTGCCTAATGTAATGTCATTTAGGCTCAGATGTAAGGATATTATTTCGAGTCATTTTATCATGTCGTAAAGCATTCTAGACTGATAAGATAAGACTGTCCTTGAGTGCCCTATGCCATGTTCACTGTCTCTCATACATACTACGACTGTTGAAGTGAGATATATTACCAAACAAAGTAAAGATGATACATAATAATACTGAAATGAATTCATGCTGACACAATGGCTGTAAAGGATTACACACCCAAATATATTCATACAAAATTGTTATTAAAAAACTTCAACTAGCAATATGAAACACTTAAAGGTCCTATAGTGCACGAAATTGACTCTTGTTGGCTTTATGCCATGTTAGAATGCTGTTACTCATCAAAAACATACCTAGAGTTGTGTTTTGTTTCATTCACACATGCTTGAGTAATCTTTTATTGTTAGTCTGTCTACATCTCCAAAGCTCAAAGTGGTAGTTTTCAATTTAAAGCTCATTTTATCTTTAGTTCAGTTAGCAGAGATTGACAATTCCCGGGTTGAAATTATCCAAAAGATTCTAGGAAAGGTGTATGGAGTCTAAAAACACAGTGGAGCACTTGCTGTATTACTACATGACATCATGAGGTGGAACAAAATGTTTTCTGTTTGAGAGAAGAACTGTAAATATGCAGGGTCTGCATGTTTGAAACAAAACACAACCCCAGGTCTGTTTGTGAAGAGAAAACAATATTATAACAGATAAATTGGCCGACCCTCCCACCTGTAGATACTAACTACAGATGTTAGTTTTAATTGAGCCATAACTCAAATCTTATCGCAGTACAAAAATATATATATTAAAAAAAAGGTTAGTAATACAAAGAAAAAGTGCTCATGATAACTATTGGCCCCAAAAATTGTTGTTCCATCGATCATCTAAGTCGATATAGTAATTATGGAGACAGGTCGATTCACTCACAGAGCAGAGGTTGGAGCGTGCTGACAGCGGAGAGGAGACGCTGCCTGTGTTTGGGGTCAGTCACTTTGAGCTCGATCAGGTGATGCTCTCTTAGCTTCAGCAGGTCTTCAACTGTTTGGTAACCGTGTAACAACAGAGTCAAGGCATACTCCTGAGGAAAAAAACAGAAATTCTTATTAACACTAGTGGTACATGGTCAGTAATAATCAGATACCTAATAATTATGATTTTTGGTGTGTTTACATGCACAAAGGAAATCTGATCATCAAAAACACCAATAACATTTATTTTAACATCGTATTAAGACACATTACAATGAATTTGAAAATAACTCTATCAGTCTTAAACATTTTATTTTTGTCATTGCCACATTAGTTTGCCCATTTTACATAACTGTTTTGGTCAAAACCAGCAGAGGTGTGAACAATCAGAAATCGATCTCACTCACATCAGATGTAATGGTTTACGTGACATTTCAGATCACTTTGGAAATCAGATAACAATCAGATCTTTGTTGTGTGTGAAAACATAGCCACTCATGAAAGATTAGAATAGTTAGATCGAAACAAAATACATTACCTCTAAATCAAAATTCTTTAGTAATTCATGAACGCATGCATCTCCTGTTTTGGTCTCTTCTTTTATAAGGTCCACATAGATAAATTTAAAGTAACCAATTTTGTTGTTTAGCATTCCTGTCCATGTTCCCATCGCAGGTTTGGATATGATGTCGATCACATCTCCTACCTGAAAAAAACAGTACGTTAGGAAAACAAGCTGCCACTGGGTTTCAAAACACACATGCACTCCTTCAAATCAAGACACTGTCATAAAACATATATAAACAAAAAATGACTAAATATATCACTATAAATATAAGTTTAATGTCATACTGTGGAACTTTTTAAGTAAAGGAATAGCATTTCTATGGAAACAAGCAAGTGGCTTACTGTCCATCATAAAGTAGAGAATGAAATACATAAATACTTGCACTATACATTATTTTAGTTATTCAGTATATACCCAGCCTGTTAGACTGAATAGATTAGATAGACATATATAATACATATATACATACGTATAAAGAATTATTTATAAACACAGTCAATGGCATATTCCCAGATGTTTTACCTGGAGTTTGAGAGACTCTGTGTCGTATGGACTGGGCTCAAACTCCGTGTGCACTCGGGCTCGTCCACAGAAGGTTTTGGGGGAGGACAGTTCATCGTCCAGCCTCAGACTGGCCCTGTTACTGGAGCAGTTTGACCCACTGGTGACCCCGCCTGGTGAACAAAAGAACAACAGGGTGAAGTCAAGGCCACGCTCAATAATTCAAATTCAACTTTCGACCTGAACCGTGCACATGCTGAGACCAGTGGGTTTGTCAGTGATGAGGGTGGTTAAAAGTGTAGCAGGATAGTCTACCTTACAACCATGGGCTGCCTTAGGTATTTAAAGATACACTGGGTAACTTTTCTGTTGAAGGGTTTGCCGCCTGCTTGTCTCCATGGAGTTGTTATTGCGTTGTGCCAAATGTTCCATATTATGGCATTAAATGTATACATTGAGACAAGCGTGAGATCAAGCAACACGACACCATCAAGCCAGGTTACAGGTCAGATCTCTGGAAAGGCGTTTGTTTGACAATAAAAATACCTGATTGAAAAACTGAATAAATGCCAGGCTAATAAGTTTAATGCCATACTGTGTAGCACCCAGGCAAAGCAATAACATCTCCAAGGGACAAGCAAGTGGCAGAATCCCCACTAGAAAAGTTACATAATGTATCTTTAAGTTATTTATTTGTGATGTGCAATTACAACAAAATGTAGTAAATGGAGAGTTACATATTTCTTTCAAATGTATTTATTGTAAGTCTATGGGTGAATGTGAATGGGAAATCTAAGCCCCGTTGCTATTGAGCTCAATTACACTCAGTTAGCGGTGAGTACATTAGGGTCAAAGGTCAATGGATTCTTACTAGAGGAGCTCTGTCCACTGCTGTAGAGGCTCTCCATGGAGTTACTTTGTCCTTTGGTTAATTCTTCCTGACCATTCTGCTGCACCTGCCAAAGAAGAACATTTCAGCTAAATTAACTTAATAACACATCTTCAGATTGATTATTGTGGCATGGCAAAATATTATGGTGGCGTTTTGGTCAAGTAATTACTTAAAGGTGCACTATGTAACTTTTCTGGTGGAAGGTTCCCCACCTGCTTTTAGATATTATTGCTTTGCCTGGAATGTTCCACAGTATGGCAATAAACATATCTGTCTCCATGGAAACAAAAAGATGATGCCACCACCAGGCTTACTTACAGATCAGATAAAAATGAATACAAAGCAAAAACATCTCTTTTAACTTGAACAATAGTTGGTGGTATTTCAGTGTTGTAATTGACTTAATGTTTTTTTCTTAAAATGTTCTACAGTATAGCCTTTAATTTAACCATCTCCATGGAGACATGGAGATAATTAAGTGTCCCTGCTTGGTATACTTTTATTTACAAGGCCATGCTCAGACTACAGCTTTCCTGCATTTGTACTTTAATCACACAGAGAAGTGTTCACTCGTACTCCTAATGATCTAACGATCAGTTGTTGCTTTCTGTTCCCTGTTTCCTTTTGCCCACAAAGGGCTCAGCTGCTTTTGTCCACTCAGCTCCTCTTGCTTGGAACATGTTGCTCAAAGACTGGAAACTGACTGAGCTCTTGTCCTTAAATGCTTTAATCAAAGGTGAAAGTATCGACACTGCCTCAATACTGTGCACTTTCACTAATCTATTTCAGGTTATTTTATTGTTGTTTGTATGTATGTTGTATGAAACTGCACCTTTTGGCCAGGACTCGCCTGAAAAAGAGGTATTTTTTTTCTTAAAACCTGTAATTTAATAAATGTAAGGTAGAGCTGTTTAATGTCATAATGTGCAACATTACGAGCAAAGCAATGACATCTCCATAGAAACAAGCAGGTGACGGATCCTTAATCAACATAGTGCACCTTTAAATAAAGGTTACATAAAATAAAAAAATATCCATAGAACTCCTTGAAAGCCTCATATGTTTGTATCAACTTCAATGCTTATTTTTGGGATTTAACATATTGTAGTTGTAAACACCTGCTCACTTTGTACACTGCGGTATCTACAAAAACACAGACACCGCTCCCCCTTTCAAACCTTGTCAACTTTTCTTGCACAGCCGACAAAAAACTACAGTGAAGCAACCAAAATGCTGACTTAGGGCTATCGTCTCCTAAGGTTTGAGTCCACGTGTGACAGAGGAGCTCAGTGTCCCCTCGGTGTGCAACGCATGTGACAAGAAATCTGTGACAAGAAACCTAATCCTACAAGAGTTACTTAGCTTTTAATAGCCCAGACCTAGAAGTGTGCAAGCAAAGAGAATAATCCCCAACTACCTGTGCTTTTGTCTCTCTGTTTCTCCAAAGGCAACACGAGAGCTACTGAGAGCATTTGACATAGTTATGGAAGTGGGGCAAAAACGAGATACGTGAAAAGTGGGTTGCAGTGAAGCTAACTTAGAAGAGTGTGGGGGTGTATAAGAGAATAAGAGATTACACATGTGGTTCAAAGGGTACCATAAATGATTTTTGTTATAAAAATGTGTCAGATGTGTCAAATTTAAATCAAACAAAAGTAATTAATCGGAATAGATATCCAGTATTGAAAGCTATGTCAAATTATTATATGCTTGTTAAAGGGACAGTTCAGAATTTTGGACATAGGACCTCATTTCCTAGTTAACCAGAGGGCTAGAGACGTGTGGAGACACTTTTTAAATATTCCATCCAGTCCTTGTATTTGCAGAAGTCGCTGGTGCTAGGCTAGTGCATGTCAATGGCCATAGTTATCCTGCCACTAAAAACAGTCTTACCCACTCCACAAAGCATCTGAAGCAAAACAATTATAATGCCAGACTGTCGATGTGAATGTCTGTGTTGATAAAATAATGTTTGAAATAAAACTAAAATTGCATCGCATGAATCGTCGCAAGTTGAGGGACTATTTGCTCAGCAGCAGCAGAATTTTACTTTGCCGGTAAGATAGGTGCTAGATGATATCAGTCCGCTGCTGTCAAGCGTTGTGTCAGGAAGAACAACTCGCTGCTGCTGCTCAGACATAAATCTTTCAAATGCAAGGTTGGTTTTACTTCTAAAGTTATTCTATCGATAGACATTCAGTTGACAACAGTCTGGCATTATAACTGTTTGGCCGCAGGTGTTTTGTGGAGTGGGTAAGACTGTTTTTATTGGCAGGATAACTATGGCCATTGACAGGCACTAACTTAGCACCAGCGACCTCTGCAAATACAAGGACTGGATGGAATATTTTAAAAAGTGTCTCCAGACGTCTCCAATACTCAACACTAACTAGGAAATAAGGTCCTGTGTCCAAAATTCCGGACTGTCCCTTTAACTACGTTAAGGTTAAGTACACTTAATTGGGGAAAATTGTCTTCTTCATTTGACCCATGGGTGTTTTGAAGAGAAATAATTAACTACTCTTTTAGATTAGCTACTAGTTTTAGCAATTTGACTAATTATAAGGTCACGATTAATAATAATGGAAAAAATAATCATGTATCTTATATAGTGCTTTTTCAGACACACAAGTGCAATAGTTAAGATAACTTTGGAGCCTCAGCTATCCCAGCTATTTAGAGGCAGTCAGATAGACTGACAGAAGTGAGGCTAGAAGTGTCATGTGGGCAAAGTGTCTTGCCTGAGGACACAACAATTGTATGTATGCAAGTCACTGCTAGCCCTCTACAGTCCCTATCATTCTCAGTAGTCTCACATCCAAGTACTAACCAGGCACAAAACTGCTGAGCCCCCAAAACCAGACAAGATTGGGCCTTCTCCAGGTGGTATGACTTTATAACTGCCTATGTCTGTTTAAAGGAGCAGAAAATAGCTTTGCCTGAAATGTTCCACAGTACAAGAATAAAACTATCTTGTATTTATTCCATTACAAATGCTTTGTTGCAAAAAATAAACAAATAAATAAAATGCATTCTTACTCAAAAACATGCAGTAGAACATTTAAAGCAAAGTGATTACATTTTCTTGGAGAAAAGCAGGTGGCCCACTCTCCACCATGAAAGTTTTGATTAGGCTTAAAATGTATATTCCAAAAATGTATAGTCCATGTTAAAATACCTAATCCTATTTTTACAGTCCCTGCTACTTTTGTGCATATGTTTTGTCTAAGTGGAGGTAGCACAGGTGTGGGGCTGTCAGCTCAGTGAGACAAGCAGCAGATGTGGAGCTTCAAAATACTAAAAAATAAGTCTGATTTTAAACTGTGACAATTATGTTTTTCATGTACGTACACTGATGTCTGTGGTATCTGCAGTCTCCGGTTTACTGTCTCTCTGTAATGTGTTCTCAGTCTTCTTTTTTCGGCATGTAACTTTTGGCTCTCCACTTGGATTCATCTGTTTGGGTGAAAAATGTATAAAGTGAAAATTACAAATGAACTGTAACTATAAAAACAAACAGTAAGTATCAAGTCTCAGTGGAAAGTGATGCCACAAATACCATCACTTGTTTTGCTACTACTACTACTACAACTACTGCCACTACTAGGGAAAATTATACTCTGGTTCTTGTACTCTGCATAGAATGAAAGGAGAGGTCACCAGAGCAAGTTACAGGTCAGACATGTGGAGAGGCGATGCCACTCACAGTAAGAAAGCATAATTTTCAAGGCATTTTTGAGCGATCAAAACAAGATTCGTTTAATGGCATACTGTGGAAGACGCCTGTAGAGAAGAATTTTCTGGAAGTAATTTTAAGTGAGGCTAGATATTCAATTTGTATGTCATCTCTACTATTGTTCTTCTAAGTTTTGACTACAGACAACTACTGATTACCCAGAGCACAAAGGGATCAGGAATGGGTTTTCACTCATCTACACCTAAAAAAAACAACAACTACATTTCAACAAAAAACTACAGATGGGACCTTATAATACTAATGAGGATGAAATCTCTGAAGTTGGATAGAGTGAACGTAAACAGATGCATAGACAGCCAGATTTTAGATTTTAGATACTTTTCTTACCGTACAGCCATTCCCATTATCCGTTGTCAAAGGCCACTGCTGTCTGAAGGCGTCAAATCTCCCAAATCTGCTCCACTGTTTGGGTCAGAGACAGATTAAAATGTGTTTTCTCTTGACAGATGGCGTGTTATCTGCCCACTCTGCACCACTGACCTCGGCCCCTGTTTATTATTCCCATTTGTAACATTTTTCCTGAATTAGCGCAACAACTGGCACACTATTTTTTTATGGCCTGTCACAGCGCTGCTCCTGTCTCCTTTATTTGCTCCATTTTGTTGATGCATATTCTGTTATTGTTTGGGCATAATGAACTGTTAGTGGCCAAATGGTGGAGGCAGGATGAAAGCAATGAGGCTCTCCTTAGCGGTTACCCATTAACTTTAGTTTAGCGGTCATCCTGTGCTCCTCTCACAGCAGCTGTTACACGCACTACTGGCTCATTCCCAACACGGGCAGTTAGAGAGGGCGCACTGACTGGATGGATAAGCAACAACATTATAACTGTCCTATAAACAAAACACAACTGTGGAAATTTTCACATTAGATAGATTAAATTAGATAGTTGGAGTGTCTGGTTTTACTTGCACAATATACTCAATAAATAGCTTTTTGAGTTTGAGCAGTTATCAATGATTAAGTTTGTGATTATTTAAAGATCCTACGCAAAATTAACTCAATAAAAAAACATACCTGGAGTTATGTTTTGTTTCAACATTTCAACATTTCAAATAAAAGTCGAGGTATGTTTTTGATGAGGAAATAACATTATAACATAGATAAGAAAATGGAGTAAAATGGGGCCTTTAAAACCACAGGATGTAACTGGAGGAGGGCTTACTCCTGCTTGTTTCCATAAAAATGTTTTTCTTTAGTTATAATAGCCACAATATGCATAAAATATATCCAACTTTCTATTCCTATGAAATCATGCAGGTGATGTGCCACCTCTGGAAAGGTACAGAAAGTTACTGTGTCTTTAAGTAATGTATTCAACAAAGAATCTCTCATTTACTTGTTATTGATATACTTGAAATGAATGGAAATAGTTTAAGTAGTTTATCAGTTTATATTTCAGTCTTCTCTCCAATTATTATGCTCCAGGAGTTGTTTACAATGTGCACTCTGAACAGAATCCATTTTTTAAACAAATAATGCAAATCTAATCACAAATGCAATATTAGATTTTTTTTAATGACTCTAACCCCTGGAGTGAGGCCAGCTATTTTCTTACAGAGACCATTTAGTTTGAAGGACAGAAGCGAGTAGAGGACAAGTGCCGCCCAGACTGTTTGATGACATGACATTCTTATCACAAACTTTTGATCTAAGGGAGCATAAAATGAACAAGGGTGTTTTAATAATAATCTAGTTAGTCTGAATATGTTTTCTTAGTGGGTTTGAGATTCACTCCATAAATAATGAAATGTATTTTATAATTTTATAGTGTTTGGGCAGGATGCAAAATGGATCCTGTAATTCAGTTATATGTAATACAATTATTTGTGTAGACTGAAATAATTAATTAAAAAATATTATATTTTATGTAGGCTGCTAATATGGTCATTTACAAACTGCACTTACATCCTTGTATTAGTTTGTCAGTTCATATTTGAATTTTCTTTCATAGATTGCTCCACGTACATCTTTACTCCTGAATCCTAAAAACATAAATTACCCGTTGCACAGATTTTCTTTTTTTTTTTAATCACAATTTCTTTCTTTCTTTATTTTTTTTGCCAGTTGCACAGCTTGTGAGGAAAGTCACCATTAAATATGTTTCCTAAATTTCAGAAACATTCAGATCTATCATTATTGTTCAGGGGGCTTACTTCATCTTGGTGGAAGTCGAGGTCAGTGATGGAGCGGACCATGTGATGCTGGCAGGGCTCTGGTTCTCTGATGTCCAGTTCCTGAATGAGGCTCTCAAAACGGTCCCAGGCGGCAGTCCGAGGCAGAGACAGAGCAGAGCCGCACTCCCAACGCTCGTGTGCGAGTGTGTGTCTGGTCTCGGGGCAGCTCACAGGGGGTCTCCACAGCTCACAGGGGCTCTGCAGAGGACTCCAGACCCTCTCCTCTGAGTGCTCATGAGACAGGCAGTCAGACTGTGGAGATGAAGAGGTGATGGAAGAGTCCTTCTGCCTCGTGCCCAGACCAATGCAGGTCAGAACTGGGTTATAGGAGCTCAACACGTCTGTCAAATGATCTAAAAAATGACAATATGTGAAATTAATGCTTATAAAGTTAACCCATATTGATATTTACAATAACATTATAATATTTCATTCAGGTGCACTAAATATCTTTTCTGATAAGTGATCTTGCCTCCATCTATACTGAAAAATCTGGTAATATTGATAATGTACTGGCTTTATAGAGACTAATCTTTATTTTACAGTGCATTAATCACTCAATACACACACAGTGGTGGTAACTGCAGATGCCCTGGGGTAGAATGAAGGAAGCAAGGATGCCATGTAGGTGTCATTATCAAATTTAGATACCATTAGAAGTTACACACAAGCTCATTAAAAAAAAGCAAAAACTGGTTCAACAATGCAACTCTAGTGTGTTATAGACTAAATACACTCACCATAATTCTCAGACAGGCTCTTCTCTTTCCCACTTGCACTTTGCTGTCCTCCTTTCGTGGTTGGCACCAGATTCTGTAACTTCTTTAGTCTTCTTGCTCTTATTGATTCTGCTGTGTCAGCGGTGGTTTTGCTGGCCTGCAATAAAGAACAATATGTGCAGCGTGTACACATTCAAGGCTAAGCGTGTTTCGTTTGCATTAGAAGTACAAGCCATTTCTCATCCCTTTACTTGTGGTCAAAACCTGGGAAGGTATGGATCTTTGGAAAAAACTAGCAATATAAGAATATTAGCAATAGATTCATTACAAAATCTCATTCTTGCATGCAGCCTGATGAGACTTTACCTAAAATTTTTCCTGAACAGAGTCATGTGTGAACAAAGCCAGAATATGCATTTTCAATTTGATAGTTTTACTGGTAAACTATCAGGAATACGCAGGGAAGGCTGAGTGTTCTGGCATTTTATATCCAGCAATTTTCTGAGGACTATGTGTGAATGGAGCTTTAGATTTTCATATTCATTACTGAACCAAAAGCTTGTCGAAATAATTTCCCTTGTGAATCACTAAACTTTGTCCAAGTCTTAATAAAAAGCTGTTAATAACTAAGATCTCTGCTGCCTTGTCAGTTCTGGCATGTGAAACCTCTAACAAAGAGAACACTTTCACATCCAGGTGTCCTCGAGAGCGGAGACTACAGGGTTGGAGAAAGATTAAAGATCATGAACCAGATTAAAGTGAACAGTGGATCAGATCTGTCGGACACAGCTGACCTCTCTGACATTGTCTCACTTTCTACAAAATCTGTTAGGATTACTACATATGCTGTGGTATAGGATGACCCATGTATTATTTACAATCCTTTGATACTTTAGATGCAAACTTCACTGGATTCAGGAGACATTGAAGTAGGACTGAACAATATGGACACAAAAAATCTTGATTTTAGCTTACCACCTCTGGGAATGAAATGAATGAATAATGCACCAAATTGAAAAGCAACTTTGAGCATCTGAAAAAGCGATATATAAAGACTAATGCATTTAATAATAATAATAATAATAATAATAATATGTAATCTAATTTTAACAATGTCTCTTGGTTCATTGCATCATAACCCTGCTTTGTGAGTAAGAAAGTCAGAAGTAAACTTACTAATAAGCATGATTTTGCAATTTTTCAAGATCTTTATTATTAAAAACAAATTCATCAAATTAATTTGATTAACTGCCCAGTCCTACTTTGAGGTAAGTAAAACATAAAATGCAGTCATTTGTAGCACAGTTTTCATAAAAGGGATCTTAAATGTGATGTCTGTCTACAGTACTTGTCTCCCCAACCATCCAGTTGCGTTAAGTTTTCACTCACATTTCCCAGATATGACACACACGTGCACCTCCTCGTGCAGCAGGTACTGCACTGGCAGGGGCACACATGGCCATGTGGGCAGAGGATTACTACAGACCTAACTGTCATTCACTCTCTGGCTCTGGTACAAACTGAATGCATCAATGAGAGACTCAGTAAAGGATCAGTGAAGTGGGAACATTTCAAAATAAAACTGCACTTTGGCCCAAGGCTGACAGTTAGAAAAATGTTTTACCTGAAAAGTAGGCTCTGTCTTTATCCTTTCATGGTCCAGTCCCAGTATTGTTGCAGTATCTTCTGATGTTTTACATACGGCTTCAAGAGCAAAAAAACATGTTATTATAGAAGAATGTGTGCACCTTACCCTTGTCAGATTTTATTCAAACACTGTACAATTCAATATGTAAAAGAATGATATAGTAGCACTTGAATGAAGTCTAATGTACTCATTTCCATACCTTTATCCGGATCTTTCTTTTGATGAGCTAGGTCCTTTTTATCACCAGATGAAATCCAGCACGCACTCTGAATATCTGCAAGTATGATAATTCAGGGAAAATGAATCTAACACACAAGACAAGCTGTCCTTCAGTGGAGCAACTAATTAAATGAGGAACAAAATTATTCATTCTATAATGGATGTCCCTGGACTTACCTATTGTCTCATTGTCCAAGGCTGAAGTTACAAAACATGACCTGAAAAATCACAACAAAAGTAATTCATTTCTAAGTTCTAATAAAGTAATGACTAATAATTTACATTCTGTGTACACAACCATTCCTACACACCTAACGTTGCTTCTTTTAGTTTTTGTGTTCTGTGATTTGGTCTGTAAAACAAAAAAATATGTTTGACACCGTATATGAATATTGTCTCTCCTCTTGGTTAGAATACACCAACAGTACATACACAGTTAATGAAGGGGTCTGATCCACCCCACTCTGGTCTCCTTCGCAGCAGGGCAGGGCTGCACTGGAACCTGGACTCTCGGACTGCTGGGCTGTAGGCTGGCTCATACATGCTTTCCGTTGAGCCCTCCTGAACAATTCATGTGAAATAATAATTAACAAAATAAGTATCTTGGATTGATCACAATTTATCAATGTTCAAGTTGGTCTTTAAACTGACTTTTTTGTGTACACTTAAGCTTATACTGGAGTGTAAGGGCTTTGCAACCACAGGTACAGTAAAGGTGGGGAAATGCAAGAAGGTGTATGCATGCAACCACAACACCATCACTTGCTGCTGAAAATAATTTAAAGAAGATTGAAAAAAATAAGATATTAAGATATGAGAAACAAAATAAACAAACAAACAAAACAAAACAGATAGACACTTAAATTTGGTCTTAATTTTTTTTGTGGACATTGATTTACATTAATATCTTGGAGCCCATTTCTAAAGTAAACCAAAGTAACAACATAACTCTAGCCTAATAATAATAATATTATTATTATTGGGGGGGGGGTGATTTGAAGCGCCGTAATGAGTATGAGGTTCTGATGGGTTACAAGAGTGAGATCAAGAGGATGGGCAAAGGCTCGGTCCCCCAAGGTCCGGTGCATACAATACTGGTATATATAATATAAAAATACTGTATGCAGATGCTGAAGAAGAGGGGACCGAGCACCAAACCTTGGGGAACACCAGTGACGGGGGAGGTGTGAGATTTGGAGTTATTCATGGAGATGTAGTGGTGACGGTAGAAGGAGAACCAGGAGAACGCAGTGGCGGAGATGCCAAGAGACTGCGGCATGGTGAAGAAACCGAAGTCTGACGCGAGGAGGCCATTGGTCTTTCAGGAGGGCTTTTTCAGTGTTGTGATTGGGGCCTTAATTTAAACCCCAACGCTACTTATTTTAACCCATATCTGAACTTAAAATCATGCTGTTGCTCTAATAATAAAGGATTTACAGTAACAGAACCTAATTTTTGTCCACATAAAGTGAGTGCGTATACAGATTTTAGGTCCTATAATATGATAAACACCTGTCCAAATGCACATGTATTACTCAGTTAAAACAGACAGAGATGTGGCTGTAGTAGTTTATGTCAGTGATAGGAATAAAAGACAAGAAGCTCAATCATCTCTACCCTAAGACCCTGACACAGATACCCTAAGCTACTGCAGTAAATCCTAGTATATACTGCACTGTGCCACATGTGCTGAGATTTCCAAGAAATTATTAATTTGTGTCTTTTATTGTTATTTCAAAGTGTATGTTCATATTACTGTAGTTACATCTTTCCTATTTGAATCAGTCATTATCTAACTAACTTAACTTGTTTCTATGGAGATGTCATTGCTCTGCCTGGAATATTCCACAGTGTGACATTAAACAGCTCTACCTTACATTTATTAAGTTTTATAGCTCCAAAATACCTAGAAAAACAGGTATTCTAATTGAGCGCGGTGTTGCCTCTCCACAGACCTGATAATTGGTCCAATATAGTCTTCATGAAAATAGAAAGATTTAATACCGTACTGTGAAACATTCCAGACAAAGCATTAACATCTCTTTGAAGAAAAACATTTGACAGAGCCTCAACTACTAAAGTTACACAATGCACCTTTAAAATCAGTCTGTAATAGTTTTTGATGGGACCAGCGGGTGCTTCCGTGCCATGTTAATTTGTGCTACTTAAATCAGGGTTCAATCTACTGCTAAGTCCAAAACCGGCCTGGAGGGTCACAGTGCGCTTGAATCAAATGTAAAATGTATGAAAATAGCTTGTGGTGCTTTTGTCTAATCGTACAGTGTCCTTATGTGACAATCCCTAAAGGAATTCCTCGACTATTCAGTGACAATATAATGCATAATAGTCTAAGTCAACTTCAACTTGTTTACTTACGGAAATCTCTTTATAAATATAAAACTTCAATGCAAAGTGTGCAGGGATGATAGCAGGAGTTGTGTCCATTATAGTAGTAGTAAAAGTAGTGATCATGCATATAAACAGTGCTTGAAATAGCAACCCAAGTAATGAAAATAGTTGAGATATTAGAGATGTAAGTAGTAGTAAAGTATTTTAGTAGTAAATTTAGGTGTAATATTAGTAAAAGCAATGGTAGAAGCAGTAGTTAAATTTAGTGCATCTAGATATGTCTTGACATTATGTGGAGAAAGAGAGAGTTACTTAATAATACTAGTACAATAGAAGCAATACTATTAAGAGGATAGTAACAGAACTTCAGTAAATTACTAGTACAACTTTGGAGTACCCTATTCCTTACACAACAGAAATCTACTCTGGAACACCTTAATATATTTCCTAAACTTCCAAGTCTTTCTGATGCACAAAATGTTATCAAAAATGTAATAAAACAACTCTTACCAGTGTGAAGCAGAATAGGTTCATGTCTGACAGCTCAGGCTAGAAGACAAAGGCTCCGATGTGGAGAGGAGATATGCGGCGTGGCCTGAAGAGAGGACAAAACAACGCACTTTCACTCACACGCCTATGCCACAGTAAAGCTCAAACTGCCCCCATGCTGCCCCCACCAACCCCCTCACCCCGCAGCCTAATCCCAAGTTCAAAATCCCTCACGTAATCCAATAGAAGCACCATCCAACAGGGGCCACAGGGAGAGCCAGGCCACCCACAACAAGACAATAAACAAGCACAGACAGCTTTTGTTTGGCCTATGTCTGCACCGATTACCGTAATGTCAGGACAAGGATTAAGTTAGCAGAAGGGGAGACAACTCACTATCTATTAGACTAGTGAATAATATAAATTGTAAACAGCAAGTTGTTGTTTAAATCAACATGTTTTTAATTATAAAGGTAAATGTATACAAGTTTTTTATCATTCTCAGTATATGGAGGCTACACTAGCAAAGTATAATGATTGACTGCTAGTGCTGAGGTTTAGGTAATGAGAAATCAGATCAGAGAGATTTTCTTCTTTCATAAATTTACATGGATCTAAGTTATTTTAGGTTTTAACCACCTGGATTTCACCATTGAAACTGGCAACCGAGACCTTGAGCTATGTCTAGTAAAAGGGAATACATATCTGGATGACTTTACCTGCTGTAAAGTTTTACAGTATTACGCTCTGTTTCTATTGTTATATAGTATTTCTCTGTGGTAAACTGTCTGAATCATAAACTGTATGAATCTAATCTAACCCTAATATAATAGTCTTTTGGTTTAGTATGGTGTATTTACTTTTAAGTATTTATAACCGTGACACAAAAATAATCCTCAAAAATGATTTTTCAAAAAGGCTTAACATTTTAAATCTTGTTCAATACAGATTTTGTGTTTTATCGAGGCTAGTGTGCCTTCAAAGCCTGCAGATATAAGTATTTGATGTATTTTTCAACATGGGGGAACAACATGGCTCTGACAGGTGCATTACAACTGTATTCATGAGCAATGAAAAAGTAATAAACCACAACACCAGATAAAAGCCCACAGTACCGGTGTCTCCACAAGCTTTACAGTGGTTTTTGCTCTATTTATTTCTATTCTTTCAAGCAGCTTGTTCACAAAAACACTAATGTTGCACATCTGACATTTATAAATATGACATATAAATATAAAAATATAAATAAATTGTGTTGACTTTTGACTATATGTTCAATATATTTAAAAGAACTGTATGTAGCATGCTCAAATCCTGTTCTGAAAAAAGTACAATCATATATATGTTGGGTTTTCAGTGCCTTATAGCAGACCTATTATAGGTCTGTTAAGTTTTTAATTGCTTATTTTCAAGATGCTGATCAACTCCCGTTTTCACCACCACTGATATACAGTTACTGCTCTGTGTTCAATTTGGTCTTGTGGACCAAAATACCAAATTAATATGGCCATCAAGCCCATGTTTTTTGTATCTTTTTTTGCTTTATCAGCAGTACAATTGTAACCATCTACCTCATATCAGTGGACACAATTTGGTCATGTCTATGAAATTTAACAACTTTATCAAAATCCTGTATACAGTTCAGTTAAGATGCATTTTAAATCTATTCAGTTCAGTTCACATCGTTTCTACTGTCTGTCAGATAACACCCTTTTTTGCACTTGTTCTGCAGAGCTGTCTTTTTGTCTTTCATTCAGAAAAAGAGAAGATTGTTTCATGTGTTATGATCAAGGCTGTGCAGCAGAATTAGGTCAGAAAATGAGGACAAAACAACTGACTTCAAAAGAAAAAAATTACACAAGTTGTCAAAAATAGGCTGTTCTCCATCTGTCTTACATTTTGTAATGCTAAGCAAGTTTGGGTAGGACTGGATGGTTAGTTCCCATTATTTTGAACTTTTAAATATCAAAATGATAGTTCAAAGTGAAATTAGGAAGGTCAATAATTCATAATTTCTGTGTCATGTGCTCCAGAGGAAGAAGCATTCTGAATAATTATCCAGGCCTATTGGTATTTAATCTTAAAAGTGAATTGTGTAACTTTTCCAGTGGAGAGTCTGTCAAATGCTTTTGCTTTGTCTGGAATGTTTCACAGTATGGTCTTAAACCTTTCTATCTTCATGGAGACCAAACCAGACCAAGATGTAGGTCAAATCTGTGGAGAGGCGACCCTGCTTACAGTCAGAATGCATTTTTCTAAATATTTTTGAGCAGTAAAACCAGCTGTAATTGAACAAATTTAATGTCACACTGTGGAACATTCCAAGCAGAGCAATGACATAGCCACAGAACAGGGTGACCAGACATCCCTATATCTCCAGAACAGTCCCATTTTGAGCCCTCTGTCCCCTGTCCCAGCAGATTTATCCAAAACCACTGATTTGTCCCAGTTTTGTACAGGAAATAATCCCAGGTGTCCCTATTTTGGACAAATCCGATCCCTCCCAACAGTAAAAAGACGCATAAATTGTCATTTGTTTAGGTAAAATACAGAAAAACTGCTTAAAAATCACCAAAACACAAAGAAAACATGACTATACTAACTCTATTAGTGCTGAGTGCTTAACAATTCACTGGTTTCACAATTTTATTATTATCAACTACTCCAAACCAGGGAAGTCCCAGTTTTTTATTTTGTAAATCTGGTCACTCTATCATAGAAACAAGCAGGCAACAGACCCCCAACCAAAAGGTTACACAGTGCATCTTTGACATCTATTAAAATGATTTTAATAAAACAGTATTATTGTTGCATTATTATATTATTATTATTATTAGTTTTATTTTATTTACAAACGGGTCTCTTCTGCTTCCCTCGTAGCTCCACTCTGACCAGAGCCTGACCTCAGGGTTGGCTGTTTTTTCTTGTCCATTTGAGGCGTTAGTGCACGGTCCTCTGCAAATTCTGGTCTGGTGGTGTCCGACTTATTTTAATTAATGTCCCAACCTTAAAAATAAACCTCTTTGTCAGCACATAAAAGAAGGAAGAGAGAACATGGTGTATGATTGTTAAAACATCTGTCCTCTTTTAGACAAAACGCAAGCACGTGACTGAAACGTGCTGAGGGAAACACCTGTCGAGAAAAGTAAACACGTGGAGTGAAAAATAATTTAATTTGCAACAACCAAGGAACTGTAGATCCATGATAACAGCTTACAACGTATCCCAAATGCGGACATAATAAAAGCCACGCTATTTTCGTCCAGCTGGTAAATTTAAGATCTGTTTTATAGCGACTACACATTTAATTAACTCGGATTGCTCGTTGGTTTAGCTAGGTGCAGCGTGTAGCAGCTAATTGTTTGATGGGACCCTCGCATCGACTTAGAGGCATGAATGCTAAATCACTAGGTTAAATGAAAGCACAAAGTGAAAAAAAATAAACATTATGTGAGATTTAAGTAGAAGTAGAAGCTTCTCATTCGTACCTCTCGCTGATCCCCCTCGCTCCTCTAGATGGCAGTGTCCCTCTAACTCCTTCCCCAGTATAAACACACAGGCCTCTCTTCACCTGTCATCAGATCTCACAGCTTTGCCCGTGCTACCAGCTTCTTTTATTAGCAATGCTCAGGTGTCCGAGACATTTAGCAGAGCCTGTATTTTAAGCCTTACCTTAAAAGCCCTGTCTTAAATACTCCATGCGCGCTTGTCTGCATTGACGTTCTTCAGCCTTGTAATAACTTACAGTATGCAGCGCGGTACAGTGTAGGCCTTGGAGGAATTGCTGTCATGGGATCTTATATTACTTGCATAAATTTTAACCACTGCAACAGTTATTCCTGAAAAGTTTAATTAAAATGCATAATTCTTCTGGTGACATTCTGAATGTAATATGATCCATCAATTCCCATTATATCCTCCCTTTGTGTGTAATTATAATATTAAATCACAGTTACACCTTTGGCTTTCATCCGCACACTGCTGCAGGCCAAATCTGACCTCCACTTTTAGGATAGGTGCTAGGCAGAAATGCTCGTCATTTTCATCATCTATGAAGGGGGTGGGAACCACACTTTTAACCCTTTGCCCTGTCTCCCTTCTACCCAGCATTCCTCTGGTGACCTTTAACCCCAGGACATGCACAATATCAGCCTGAGGGCGATGACCCCCTGACCTCTGAGATGACCTCCTGAATGCGGGGCACCTCCCGGTCAAAAAGTGAAACAGTTTGTCCCCGCCGAGTGAGCGACCTCCAGTGCCCTTGTCCGAAAAGGTATGTGAGCAGCTTGACCCCTTGTGACCTTTCATTAGCGCTTCCCTTTATTGCAGGACTTCCTCCCTATTGCCTCGTCAGCAGCAGGGTGGGGGAGGGAGTTTGGGAGAGGGGAGGGAGAAAGTAAGAAGGAGAGAAGGGCACAGAGTAGTTTAAAGGACAGAATAAAAAGCAAGGGATGGAGCGGAGGAAAGGAGAGATAGGGGAATAGAGTGAGCACAGCACGTAAAGCCAAGGAAAGATAGATTGGCGGCATCTGCTGCGTTGACTGAAATGTCACCTTTAAATGGCTTCCCTGTCCTTGATGCCGGACCTCCGTATCTGATCGCCATTCTCCTTGGGAGTTGTAGTTGTGATGACTTATGCGGAGCACCAAACGGATCTCTTATAAAACATTGCACCTCCTCTAGATAAGCTTACAGCAAACACAAAAAACGATTTCTCATAGCTCGCTCCAGCATGCTGAAGGCTGCTAAAATTGACCATTTGAATGTGGGGTCAAAGGTCAGTGTGCCATGTATGAATAAGATAATTGGATTTTGTGGTTTGCTGATACCAAGAGCTTACCAGGTGATGCATCCTCTCGCCTCAACAGCTGTAATTCACTTGGGCTCTTCTTTGGCTATCATAAGAAAACGTTTCCTAAACCGTGGTGCATTGAGTGTGCCCTTCATGCCAGATAAAGCTGGCTTTGTCTGAATTTGTTCTAAAACAAATTGGAATTAGTTAGAATTTTAACTCTTTAATTGAGAGTGTCAAACTTTAGTCTGTTATAATCCCCCCAAAGGGGGAGAGGCCTCCACATCTGGAAGGTGGCAGATCGCATTGGCTGTCAGTTGACATGAGCAGCAGCTGACATGTGAAAGCGCTCAGTGTGAGAGAGTTTTCTGGGGCCGAGAATCCTCAGAAAAGGGAGGATCAGTCAGATCAGCTGACATGGGCTCCATGTGGTGCACTGCTGCAGGGCACAGCAGTGCCACACTTGATGTCATTTCTATCTTAAATGTCACTCTCTTTGGGCCCATCACATGTAGTGTGTCCCCAGGGCCACATTCACCCTTCAACCTCTCAGTGTTGTAGCAGAGGAGCGGCCAGACCGCACTCAGGCCACTGTTTACTGCCTTTTTACATAATCCATTGTGTCACTGTAAACTCAAATAAATATAATGAGCTGCCGGGCCTGTCAGAGCTGTGTGTGTCTGCTTTTGCACATACACACCGGTCTTAGTAGTGGCCCTATAATGACCTTTGACCTGACCCGACCCAGAGGTCACAAAATGCCCTTTCATTCCCACCAGTGTGGCGACAGCCAAGCTAATTACCACCCTGGGTGAGTGCAGCAGCCATAAAAGCAGTTCTAACCTCGACATGACAAAGCACTGGAAACGCTGCTGCTGAGTGATAAAGCACGAGGTGTGGCAGCGCGTCACAATAAAACAATCTGCACAGCCCAGAGCTTCAGCTCAGAGTCACAGAGCCAGTGTCAGAGGCAACAGTGAGGATGTGAAATGAACTTTACTGTATGTGCTGTAGCTTATTTTAAACACAGTAAATCCTCTTTTACCCTTTTTATGTGAAGTATCATAAGCAAATTCTTAAATCTAACATCAAAGTCAGACTTATCAAAGGGAAAGGTTGCTATTTGTTTAATGTAACACGCATATTGCAATATCCTTTGTTTCTTAAAGAGGCATCCACGCAGAACCAGATGAGACAAAGTTACAGTTTTATATTAGATGCTGTGTTGCAAATCCACATACCAGAAATCACACTCCCAGTATTATCATTACAGTGTGTTGCCTAGACACACGAAGACGTCTGCCCACAGGTTCAAAAGTCCACTTGTTCACAATGTTATCATTGTCAAACACGCCACACATTATGACCTATATATTTTATTTATTTTGTCATGCAGTTCCAAAGGTCTACTGCTCTTATTTAACTACTGTTATAGTTTTAGATTAACCTTCACCTTTGCTTGACTTCTTTTTTATGTTGCTGTTCCAATGTTCATTTGGCTGGCCCACGCAATGACCTTCGAACTGTTCATTTTATAAGTACACTGTGTTTGTTTGGCTTTGGGACCTAACAAAAGATGCAAAATCCAAGAGCAATATAAAGTTTTAAAAAGAGATCATTCAAGATTTCTAAACATAATGCTGTTTCTGGAACTTATTTGACTTAGAACACACCGTCCCAAATACATTTTCCAATGTGAAAATAAAAGTAATTTCAGAAGTCTGTGCTTTTCCATTTGCAATTAAAATACCTAATTGTTAGACTAATGAATCCTTAATTAAATGTGGGTTTTTTTGTGGTATTAAAACATTTAGCTCTACAAAAGCAATTTAATCTACTACTACTACCTACAAATATTTTCTTCTACTACTACTTCTGCTACTACAAATATCAACAGTAGTTTGTAAAGTAGTAGTATTTCTAATTAGTAAGACCATTATTTAAAGTGATAGAACTGTACTGATGATAGCACTGGTGCTGGTTTCAGTCATAGTAATAATATGTAAAAGAACCAGCTGGTTTTTTACTTTGACTCAAGGTGAACTTTTGTGCTTCCCTGTTAAGTCATTTTACCTCTATGAGTAAAGTACTAGGATTGGACTGCAACTAATGATTGTTTTAGTAGTTGACTAGTTAACAGTACATGTTTTGACTGGTCAATCAAAGGGCCCATATTACACTATTTGTTATCTCTGTTATAAAGTTGTTTCCTCATCACAAACATATCTGGAGTTGTGTTTTGTTTCGGCAACATTATAACGTGGCTTAAAGCTCACAAGAGTCAACAGTGTGTAATATAGGACCAATAAATATTCAAAAAGTTCTAAAAGCTATGTCATTGGTACATTGATATTTTCAAATACATTATTACACAAATAATGGTTGAAATAGTGACTGAAGGATTGTTCATATACAATGTATTTTTGATAGAATATAGAAAATAGAATCTACAAATTGTAAATTTTTTTGTGTCATTTTTATTTATGAATGGCACTGTCTTTGAACTGAAAAGTATTTTGGCATGTGTTTAGAGCTGTTGTCCAGATAACAATGATTAAAATACGCTATGATCATTTTGTTAATGAACTGTATACTGTCCTAGTTATCAATCCTATTCAAAAGTGCTAAGAATCACTTCCTTATGAGATCTAAATATAGCACACAATGAAAGCAGTGTCAAAACCACAAAAGCAAAAAAAGATAATCCAATTGTGACCTATTTCTGTTCTTGTGTGGGCTCTATTGTTAAGTGTAAAATATAATAATTAAACAGTGCATTTTCCCCCAGGCGTCTAAGCAACTACAGCCCCCTATGTCTCAAAAGAACATCACTACGAGAATGTATTTAGCTGTGAGACAACCGGCACCTCCTCCAAAACATGACATGAAAATACAACTGTCCCTCCCATTTGTATCCAAGTGAGGAGTAGTAGCGCTTAGCTAGTTGAATAGTGTGTATTATTTTAATAGGATAGCACAATAAACCTGTTTACTGGTCAGCAATTATCCATTTTCCAGACTGAATGTATAAATTAGGCAGAAAAGAGCCTTTGAAGCCATAAGAAGTAGACAGGATTTCAAATTAAGAAGTTTTTTACAACGCAGAGCTGCCAGTGAAAGAGGGCTTCACTGTAATAAGCAAACAGTTTATTTGTGGGATATTGCGAGAATAATATGACCCATGGGAGAG